CATTTTGCAATGAAAACTTCTAATCGTGGACCACTAACATAATTTCACGGAAGGAACATCTAAGAAGTTACCAAATGAAGTTTATTACCTTAAGAATATGATGAAGACAGTTATGGGAACTAAGGGGTGGATTCAATTTTCAAGCTTCTGTTTCCACTCTATACAGTAATTGCTTCAATAGATGTCTGTCCCCCACACTGAACTGTAGGCTTTCTTGAAGGCAGACACTGTTTTATTACTTCTACATCCCAGTGCCTCGTTCAATTGCTGCCACTAAGAAAGCTACGTGTTTACTGTACAGATGACTGAAATTGATGGTTCCAAAGTCAATGGTAATGGCAGGGCCACAACTGCAATCAAGGCCTATCTCTGGAAAATGTATTATGAGCCACTCATTCATTTAACATTTATTGAATACCTGCTGGGGACCATCAGACACTAGGCAAAGCACTGAGGATAAATAATAAGACCCATTCTTACTGTAGAAGACCTAATCAGCTAGTAGGGGAGATAAATATGGAAGCACACTGTTGTAACATATTTTGATTAAAACTATTAAGTTCTGAGCTATAAGCCACGGGCGTAGGAGGGAAGTGAAGAGGAAGCAGCAGTGTTAGGGAACACAGGTTAGACGTGTTATTCACCATTTCTACATAGTAACCAATAAGACACTAGTATTGGTTTTTTTTTTGTGGGGGGGGTCCGGTCATGGGTCCTCAACTCTGGACCTGGGCGCTGTCCCTCAGCTCTTCAGCTCAAGGCTAGCACTCTACCACTTGAGCCACAGCGCCGCTTCTGGCTTTTTTTCTTTTTGCTTATGTGGTGCTGGGGAATCGAACCCAGGGCCTCATGCATGCAAGGCAAGCACTCTACCACTGAGCCACCTTCCCAGACTGAACCTAGTATTGTTGAACAATTTTTTCAGCTAAAATACAGGAGTCATAAGAGATCATAAGGGGTGACAAGACAGAGGCAGTCATATGATGTAACCAATACATTAGTCATAACGCCAATGACTAAATTAGTCATTTGCTAATGACTAAACAAAGGATGTTAACCTAGGGAAAGAATAATAATTGTAGTCACTGGCAAGTGGTTGATGTCAATGTATTATCATATACATATCAAAACTGTAAGAAAGAATAGAACATAGGCAAATTAAATTAAGCCAGATGAAAAAGACTGTATATTCACAATGCACATAATAACATTGTAAGTAACTCAAATCTGTCATTTAGAATTTGTAGGTTAAATTGGTTCAACAGGAGCCTGAGAAACAATGGCAGATATCACGCTGTTGTGGTGTTTTCTCCAAGTGAAAGAGAGGCACTTTGATGAGCTATGAGACAAATTCAGAATTGCGCTGAGCCACCTCAGACTCATGAAGGCTGTCACTGTGTCACCAGTACTCTCTTCCCATGTGTCCATTTTCCTCTCACATTTACCCAATAAGTAAGTTTCTATTGGATTTCCTGTATCAAAAAAGCTGTGTGCGCTGGAGAAAAACTATGTCAAGAAGCCTAGTGCCCTAACAAACTCCTGACTTTTGTATCTCAATGTGGTTATCTTTTATTTGTCCTAACTCATCTTTCATTACCATGAAATACAAAATCCTCAATCTCTCTCTTAGAAGAGGATGCCCTCAACCCTCCTCCCTCATTAGAGATAAACTTGCCTGTACTTCAATGGGAAAATGAACAACTATTGGAGGAACTGCTCCAGTTTCCCCTACCCTTTTCTGATAAACTCATTTGTATTCCTCTCCATCTCCATCTTCTACCTGGAATCCTAGAGGATGAAGTGTTTTTCCTGTTTCCAGTATTTTCTCATTTGTGTTGATGAGCTCTTTGTGCTCTCTACCTACCATTTCTCGGTCTAGCTTTTATCCTTATAGGCAACCCCTATTAGTCCTAATTTCTTGACATTATGACTTCGCCTATCTGATCTTCCTCCTCCTTGGACATTGCTTCCCTTGAGCTGTGTCCTACACTGTCAAACCATCGTCAGGATTAATCAGCAACAGTAAACTTTATGTTTCATCTCACCCCTCAACTCACTGTAGTATCTGTCCATACTCTTATAGTAAAACACTTTCTGGGGACAGTTAGTTAAAAATGTTGACCCTGGGCTGGGAAGGTGGCTCAGTGGTAGATTGCTTGCTTTGCATGCTTGAGGCCCTAGGTTCAATTCCTCAGCATCACATAAACAGAAAAAGCCAAAAGTGGCACTGTGGCTCAAGTGGTAGAGTGCTAGCTTTGAGCTGAGCTGAGGGACAGCACCTAGGCCCAGAGTTCAGGTCCCACTTCTGACAAAAGAAAAATGTTGATCCTGGATTTAAGCAGATCTGTATTTTACTTCTGTCTCCTCCACAAAAACTTTCAGCATGCAATTAATTTTCCTGTGAATCAGTTTCTTCATCTCTAAAATAAGTGTAGTAATTGTAAACAATTTTATAGTATTCTTATAGCATTATTGTAGTCACTGGCAAGTGCTAAGTGCTAAGTGTATTGTGACTCAAGTGATAGAGTATCTACTTAATAAACAAACAAAGAAAACCTTGATCTCAAGCCCCAATAATGATGATAAAAATATACACAATATATAGAAATATATGATCATATGTTTGTATAAATTGTATATTTATAGTAATAAATTCATTGTAAAAAATTGAATAAAACAGCAATGTCTTCATGTGCCATCATGATTGATAAATATTAACTATTATTATTGTTACTAGTAGAGGTATTTGCACTTCAATGACAATTACCATTGTTAGGGACTATGCTGAGTCTAGCTAAAATTCTAAATGAAAACAAATCTTACTAAAAATAAAGAAAAGGACTTTGAAATCTCTCTATATCATACACCTGATCTTTTGGTCTAGGATCATCTTCAAACCAGTCAGGAACCAAATTGTCCAACAAGGTCTCATACTGTTGACAAAAAAGGCTTCACAAAGCTGGCACTTTTATTTGTCTAACAATTTCGTTTGGGGGGTCAAGGTCATCAATGCCCATATCCCATTCCAGCACTGTTAGGTTAGTCTTCCTCTCAGGACAAAGCATAGGTTCAAGTGGAAGCACCTCTGCTGGATGGGTGGGGTCATACACCACTGGCATTCTATGTTGGGATCCCATAGATTTAACAATAATTTACATTACAGACAAAGATAACGACTTGATTTTTCTTCTACTTTAAACATTTTTCAAACCAAATTTGGAAAGTAAAAATCTGACTAAAATTATTTAACCAGGAGATGAAGTTGGTCCTCACATCTACCACTGATGGGAGAGAAAACAGGAGCAAAATTTCTTGAGGGCTATCATGTGTCAAGATGTACCTACAAAGTAAAAATTGGGCAAAGAACAGAACAGACATTTCTAAGGAAGACATACAAATGTCTAATAAATACATGAAAAAAATGCTCAACATCATTAGAGAAATACAAGTCAAAATCACAATAAGATACCATTTCATACCCATCAGGAGAGCTACTGTGAAAGAAAGGCAAGCATTGGAGAAATTGGAATTCTTGTGCATTACTGTTAGGAGGATAAATTTGCACAGCTTTTGGGGGAATAAAGTCGGGGAAATCCTCAAAAGTTTAAAAACAGAATTACATGATCTGGTAATTCTACGTCAAGAACACCCAAAAAATTGAGAACCAGGACTCAAGTAGATACTTATACATCTGTGTTTATAGCAACATTATTTACAATAGCTAAAAGGTAAAAAAAATTCAATTGTCTATTAACTGATGAGTGGATTAAAGTAGAAAACAGATATAATGTGATTTTATTCAGTGTTAAAAAGGACAAAATACTTACATATGTTACAACATGGGTAAGTTTGAAAGCACTGTGCTAAATGAAATGTCAGGCACAAAAGGGTATTTATTTATAAGCAGTTTACCTGAGGCAAGAATAGGCAAATTCAAAGAGACAAAAGGTAGAACAGGGGTTTACCAGGAGCTGGGGATGGAAAGTAGTAATCTAATGAGTACAAAGTTTCTGTTTGGGATGTTGAGAAAGTTTTAGAGATAAATGACCGTGACAATTATATAACATTGTGAATGGACTTGTGTAACATTGCTAAATATACTGAACTGTACATTTTCAAGGTTAGAACTATAAATTTGTATTAGCTACATTTTACTATATATAGTAAATATAATAATGTAGTATTTATAATAAATTAAACTAAATATACATTGTATTTTATTCACACAAATAGATAAATAGGTCCATCAATAAGCATGTGGCTATGTAAATATCACCAGACACAAAAAAGTCATAATAGAGACTCTTACATAAGTAATAAATACAACAAAGCAGACTTCATTGAGCAAGATCATTGCTCAATGAACAAAGTAAGGTACAAATGCAGGTAAAGAGGGGGAAGGTCAAAGGGAACAGAGTGCAGACAAATAGGGAGAAGAAGGATCAGTGAAGATAATCATAATGTCAATGTACATATGTGAAAATGAAGACAGGTAACTTGAAAGGATGGGTAGGATTAGGAGAGATGGGGAAGCATGAAAAAAGGGATGAGACTGGTAAGAGATGCATTGTAGTCATTACGCATGTTAAATTGAAACTCCTTTGTACATCATTTAAAGATAATTTTTAAAGTTTTTTAAAGAGTGCAGGTAACGTAGGATCTCACTGATTTGAAAATTCCAAGGCCTGTCTATATATGGAGAACATTCTAGATATTCTCCAAATGTTAACTAAGTTCGTCCTCTGAATGACAAATTTGAGGTGATCTCAAGATGACCTTCTCTACAATTTTCTGTATTTGTTGAAATTTTACAAAGAATATTTTAACCAAAGTAATATATTATTATGAGTTCTGATTTATCACAGTTTCATATTAATTTAGGGGGGGTGAGGCCTTCTGTATTTGTAATTAGATGTTTTCTGTCTTTTCATCTCCACTGCAAAAAATAACACCTGTGAATGAATCTGATACAGTTTTAAAGGAGAAGGAGAACTACATACCTCAGTTAGTGGTGTTTTCTCTCCATCAGTCACAAATAGAGACACAATTTCAGAGCAACATTCAATAATCATGTTCTACAAGTAATAAGAAGCAAATGCATGAGGTTGGTATTATTGGCTCAATATTACATATTTCACTATAAATTATTTTGTCTAATGTTTGCATAAATTAACCTTAGCCCCAGGATGTGATAAACAAGATCAGAAAGCAAAATGTGCTTTCTTTCCTTTTTTCTTCCTTCATTTCCTTCTCTTTCCTTTCTTCCTTCTTACCTTTCTTCCTTCCTTCCTTTCTTCCTCTTTTTCTTTCTTTCTCTATTCTTTTCCCTCTCTTTCATTTATTTTCATTTTATGTTGTTTCACAGTATTGAGGTTTGAACTCGGGCCCTCCAGCTTCTTTGGCTTGTTCGTTGAGCCAGTGCTCTACCACTTGAGCTACAAGTCAATTCTGCTTTCTGCTAGTTAATCAGTGATAAAGTCTTACCAATTGTTCTTTATAGGCTCTTTTTTTCAAATCTCAGTCCTCCAGATTTCAACCTTCCATGTAGTTAAGGTCATAGACATGAGCCACTGGTGCCCAGATAGAAATCACAATTTGAAGAAAAACAGGTTGATGTACAACTAAATTAAATGCCAAGTCAACTGTGATCTAAACACAAATAGTTATGACATGTCATTGAATCCTAGAGGTGGGAGAGTAATTCCTGTTATGATGATTAAGAAAGACTTCCTAGAAGGCTCAAATGACCTGAGTTTTAAAAGAATACTAGGATTTCAACTGATCGAAAATGGAACATCCTTTGGAAAGTATGGCAATGAGAATGGTAAGAATTAGCTCACAAAGTAAATGTATGACATGTCACATGAAAGTAAGGAATTTGGATTTTATTGTATAAGAAGTTGAGAGGAAGTGGAATGGGGGGAGGTAATAGTAAAGACTGTCTTTAAAAATGTGTTTCTGACCACAGTTTCAAGGTAAAGTGGTTTGGCAAGAGATAAAAGGAAAAGTCATCAGCCAAGAGTCACTGAAATCATTTGGGCAAGAAATGACTTTATAGAAGTAGACAGAAGTATGCCAACTTCATGGGAGTAAAAAGGAGGAGGTAGGAGGCCCAGCATTGATCATGTAATGCACCGTCCAGGTTTCTAGACCACTTTACTGGGTAGAAGAGAACACATGTCCACTCATATACTTGTCTGCCTTACCTATATTTTATCTCTCTCAGTTCTTAGGACTGGTTAAAGTATGTTTTGTTTCTCTATAAATGAGGTTTCAATAACATCTATGGTGGGTTATTCTCATGATTTCATCAGAAGCTATCAAAAAAATGACAGTTTATATCATTAATCATTTCACATAACAGATGAAGACAGCAATGTTACTTGATAAATGTCTTCCACTGTCGGTCTCAACATTTATCACACAGAACTTTACCTCAGCAATGTCTTATTGCTCTGGCATTATTTGAGGTAAATCTGTGAAACCTGCTGATTCAAGGTGAGGGCTGGGAGTGAGACCTGGCTACTGCAGAAAAGAAGACAGGCAAGGCACAGAGCTCATCAATCCTACTCAGAAAGTAGTTGGAGGCATGCTATAATTGGTAAGGGACAGAGTGTAGAATGACCATTGTTCAGATTTTTTTGTTACTTTCCTCTTAAAAGAAACACCTATTGATTCTATGAAGGATGTTCCTCTGAGTTCAAGATAAGGCCAATTCTTGTATTTATGTTAAAATTCTTGACAATTTTTCACCTATAACACAGAAAAAAAATGCTAGCTGTTTTCTAGCCTTCAAACTCCTGCATCCTTCAGTTCTCTGTCACCTACCACTGAAGCAGGATAAACAGATGAGGAAAGAGGGAAATTACATCATTTTAAACCAATATCAAAAAAGCCAGATTCAGAAGTCAAAGCCACAAAGTAGACTGAAAAATCTGATAAGCTCCATCCAATTATACCTCCAATGTACAAGGTTAGGAGACAAAGGAGAGGCTATTTAAATCTGCTTCCTTTGAAATGGTAAAAAGCTGAGAACTCTTGATAGGTCAGATAAGCCAGAAAGAATGAATGGCCTGTCTGGCAAAATGAAGTCCTGAAAAGTCAGCTGGGTTTTGGGTGAACCTCACCCAACTTACCCACACAAAATCTTTGTCTTAGCACTAGACAGTGATTGCTAGACTGACTTGATTATGTTTATTCTGTCTGCTAGAAAAGGATAAAAGCTACAGATAAGAACTACCATTTAGTCTTTAACTCCTATTTTTTACATGAGTGGGCAATGTTTCTTTTTTTCTCTCTTCTTTAACTGTTATACTAAAATAAATCCTTGCTAAAACTTTTCCCTTCTAAGACTCATTTTTCTGTGAGACACCCTGAAATATGTTTCATGAGGGGATCTCAAGGACTTGTGTTTTTGTGTGGAAATTGGGAAGCTGAAGGAACTCTTCACTTATTCTCCAATGACAAGAGGACAAGGAGACACAGACTCCTCCAACACTATACAAGGAGATGTGAGAGGAAAAAAACACTTAATTCTAACCAGAGGCAGAAAAGATAGATGTGGAAACAGAGAGATTATATTATTAACAAATAGTAAAAACTTCAGACTTAAAAATCACAATGAGAAAGTAAACAAACAAACAAAAAAAACGAATTAAATTCTCCTCTCACCACACTTACAATATGTTAAGTTACAAAAGCAGAAGATAAAGGGAAGTTACCTACATCTTCCGGGAGATATTAAATGGAAGGGTTGTGAAAGGAGACCTCTATGTGGTTTAGGCAGGAGAGAGTTTATTAGGAGATATTAAATGGAAGGGTTGTGAAAGGAGACCTCTATGTGGTTTAGGCAGGAGAGAGTTTATTAGGAGAACCAATCCTCCAGCCAGCACCAGATGGAGGTGTGCAGAAAGAGAATTTATGGCAGAGAGAGATTATATAGGGAGGTCAAGAAGGAGGTATGGCTGCAGCGGATGTGGAAGAGACCTCAGAGCTTGGGGAACTTCTCAATGTCTGGAGGAGGCTTAAACAGGGTGGATGAGGAAGTAACCTCAGAGGAGGAGGAAGTGACCTCAGAGCCTGGGGTCCTTTGCTGCCTCACAGTCAGGTGACTGACAGTTACAGGAGAATACTGGTTTCCAGCAGATGCTTTCTGGTAAGGCTACCTGCTGTCCTTCACGTCGGTGTTTTCTCCTGGGCAGACCTAACATTAAGAAAAAGTCACAAACTGTTTATAACAATGCTGGGCCCTGCTGCCTGCCTGTAATCCTACCTATTCAAAAGGCTAAGATTTGAGAATTGGGATTCAAAGTTAGCCCCTGCAGGAAAGTCTATGAGACCCTATCTCCAATTAACTATCAAAAAACTGGAAATGGAGCTGTGGCTCAAATAGTAGAGCGTTTTTTTGCTCCTTGAGCAAAAAAGCTCAGGAATAGCACGCAGACTGAGTTCAAGCCCTGGACTGGCACCAGAAAAAAAAAAATTAAAAAAGAGAAAAGCCAAACTAAAAGAGATAAATATTGCATATTTTCAACTCATATGTGGAATCCAGACATTTAAAAAATGATAAGGCATTACTTATAAAGGGGGGATTGTTGAAGGGTGAGGGGTGCTAAACAATAGGAGGCAGAAGGAAACATAAGAATAGAAGTGAGGTTGACAGGGGAGGTGAATATACTCAATATTACATTATATATACATATGAAAATACCATCGTGAAACCCACCAGAAATACAGCAAGGAGGGAGGAGTAAGGAGTTAATAAAGAGTAACCGGTGGGATGCACTTAACCAAAACACACTAGATATGTGTATACAATATTACAGTTAATTCATGACAATAAGTTTTCTTAAAGTTCAAAAAAAAGGAAGAGGAAAAAGAAATACCAATTACTAAGAAAGCACAGTGAAGACATAGGATATTGGGGAATAAGGAAAAATGGCCTTTACTCTGTGGATGTTATAAAATTCTGCAGTTACTTTAGTACAAAGTCTAGCTCAGCTTTCTCTCAGCTCACACACAAACATATGCCCATGCACACACATGCCATATAAATGGAATTTTTAATATAATTTTTTGTCAGCAATCCTGCTATTTAAGAAAGCAGGATTCCATCTTACACTTCAGTATAGTATAAAATCTAGATAATGAGGAAACAGGAAAACTGGAAGTTGGAGACACAGCACTGAACTATACAAGGAAGAGCTGAGTAATGGCAGGAAGGAGAGGACAAACAATATTCTCTGAGTTAGAGGGTCAGTTTTAGGAGTGTGCACCAAATGAGTCAGATGAAGGTCTGCTGTGGATGCCAGAGGGATATAAGAGCAAGAGTACAGTTAACTATGTTCCCCAAAGCTTCATGGGATTGTAGATTTAGTCCCATTGTCAATATTAGGAGATGTGTAGACTTTTAAAAGTAGGACCTTGTGGAAGGTCCTTAAATATGTTTGAGGACAATGGTGGAGAATCACATCTCACTCAGTAGGTAGTTCAACTGTACACCTAGTATCCTCTAGAGAGGATTGTTAGAGAAGGATCAAACTAGCCCCATCCAGCTTTTTCTACTTTGGAGTTCAAAATGTGATCCTCTTCAAATCACAGGCCTCCATCTGCCACCCACCAGGGTTTCAAAGCCTACATATTTGGATGTCACATGTTCAAAACATAGCTATATAAATAGCTATGTCAGGTATTGTATAACAGTTTCAAAAATCAAATTTAAATGTAAAAAAACATTGAAAGGAATGTTTGTTATGCCAAGTTCAGTGATGCATGTCTATAATCACAATTACTCAGTAGACTGGGGCAGGAAGATGGGGATGTTGCTCAGTGTTACACACTTGCTTAGCATGTGCAAAGGCTCACTACATTTGCCTGCTAGATGTCCTTACTTGTGACCCACTGCTTTTTTACTCACTCTACTGATAATGCCAACAAATATACCCTGAAAAATCAAGAAAGTTGCCAGCTTTCCATTTTCACATCATAAAAGTATATAGATAAATAAGCAAGAAAACCAAGAGCTATATGAATAATATCATTTCAGAATTAAAAACGTTTTGCCATTGGTAACCAATGAAATACTAATGTAGCCAAAAATAACTTTGAAAAGATCAGAGAAGTGTTGCCATGGTGCAAAGTGGTAAGAGTGCTAGCCTTAAGAAAAGAGTTCAGAGACCGAGCCAGGGCCCCAACCAAGTTCAAGCCCCATAACCAACAATACTATTGGATGAAAACTAAAGAGAAGATCCTCAAAGCTTTCAGACAAGAAAAGCAGGAATGTGCCCCAACTTTCTGGGAACTCAACCAGAAAGCAGCAAAGGGAAGGTCAGGACCAGAGGCATGAGCTGAGGCACTTAGAACATTCAGGTTTCAAGTGGAATGGAAAAGTCTAGAAGAAAAATAGAATTGAGACATTATATGATCTATATAAACCCTTGAATTTTTAAAAAAATCTATCAATGAAGATTCTGCCATGAGGAGTCTGACATAATGAATGTGGGAAAGTTAAGGGTAAAAGATAAGTCAAGAAAAATCAAACAATGATACAAAGACACATATGTAATCCAGCTACTTGGGATGTGTAGGTAGGAAGATCATGGCTAGAGTATGGCTCAAGTGGTGGTCCACTTGCTTAGCAAACACAAGGCAATCTCCAGTAACACAAAGACAAAAAATAAAATGAAGGAGAGTAACAGCATATCACCTGACATACAGCCCTGAACACCATTTAGTAGGTGTTAATATAACCAGTTCCAGGTGTCAATATAAAAACTAAGGATTACTTTAACTAAATGTTCTGATACTGAACCACTTAAGAGGGTACCAGACAAGACAAGTTGGGGGAAAGTACTAAGTTAGCACATTCAATATCCACTCTCTGAGGAGAAGACCAAGAGTAGACTGTCAGCTGACCCGCTCAACAATGGTGTTGGCCCAAACTAGCTCGGTTGGAATTTATTCATTACTTCACTTTTCATGAGTAAATACTGGGTATTATTTATAGGTGTTGAAGTAACCATGGGAACAGCTATAAGAGTTGAAAGTGGTCACCTCTGACTGTGGAGTGAGGACAAGCTGAGCTACAATCCTTTTTCATTTCAGACCTTTTAGATCTCATTTTTTTCTTAAACTTGCACAATAACTACAGCAGAAGTGTTTGTGTATGTGTGTGTGTATGTGTGTGTGTGTGTGTGTGTATTCTTATCTCTACCATGGAAAGTAGGGAATTTCTATTCCACTCCCAAAGAAGGAAGGCTGCTTTTGGACCCATCACTAACTTTTTCCAAAAAGAGAGGACTGACTTACCTCATGGATGAGCATGAAAAACACAACTGATCATACTAGCTCAGCCCCTTATAATCCATCTCTGTTTAAAAATTTGGGAGGCATCTTACCCACAGGACTATTATTCTCTGTTTCCCATGAGCAGTAAGCTTGTCAGGAGGCAGAAGGGGCCAAAGTATCCCTGTGGTTGCAAGTATGTACTAGGAAATTGTGTGCCTAGGTGGACAAATCTGGCCAACTCAGTAGTAAAATGTTAATGAGCTCATTTGGCCACAAATCTAAAGCCATGTTTGCTAATCAGATTTATCAGTGATGATGCTGATAGGTCCATCCCCATCTCTTTGTCTCTTGTGCTGTTTCTCAGTAGGTTCAGAACCCTAGAGAAGTAGAGAGAAATGACGTTGTCTACCAAAACACAGATACCAGTGGGCACAAAGCCACTCAGCCATATGATTGAGTTAATACCATACAATGAGAATACATACTTATCTGTATTTTCTAACTCTTTTATTCACACACTTTGGTAATAAAAGTATTTAAATATTATAGAGAAAAAGTAAAAGTAATTTTATAAAGTTACAAGGCACTGTCTCTTGGAATTCAGTCATATCTGTGTATATCTTTGGAATAGTTCTTTCTCATCTGCTGTCAGAGTGCTGCAGTTAGGGCACTTTTCAGGACTTTTGAAGCAAGCAAACTACCATGTGTCAAAAAGTTGGCTTCATGACTGGCATGATAAGCAAAGAAGATAAGAGGACAGAAAAATCACCAAGTTCAAGTTTACATGATTTTGCATCAATAAAGAGAAAAAATAATTTTAATAATTATGTGAACTAGCATCAACTTGCAATAGCAATGCCATTTTCCATTATGTAATGAATACTTACTTCCATATCTGTGTCAACAGGCTTCTCTTCTACTTCTGGTGACTCAGATATATTTCCCTTTGAAGTACTTTCAGGAACAGATGGTAATGATATTTCAGCAATTTGTGCAAGATCAGATAGTTTCTCATGAATTGAAATGACTCTGAAATGTCAAATATATATAAATTTTGAGAAGTTAGGAAAGATATTGATTTAGTTTTAGAGCCAAAAAGTTTATACAGTATGCCTTCATTCAGTTAGGTTTCTGACATCCCCAAACATCACCCATTCTATCATCCCTTCCTTTAAGAGCCATGAGCAAAGAGAAATAGTCCTACTCTTATCATGTATATGGTCTACTTAGACACCCAAGCTGATATACATTACAAACTGTCAAGGGCCAATCTCATCCAGATTACTGAGAGTGAAATAAAATCAGTACCTAGACAGCAAGGAAATTCTGGGCAATAAACAAAAGATTTTCTCTTGCCTTAATGGCATGCTGTGATTGTGTAGCTGACCTGATGCAAGAGGGTAGCAAGTTAGCAAAGCCTTGAAGAAGCCAGTCAATGACCCTACAACACTTTAGAGTGCTGTGTGCATGTATGGGAGGGTAGACACAAGGAGGTAGGAATGGAAATCAGAAAAGAGGCACAAATAAGAGTGAAAGGATAGAGAAGACACAGTGTTAGTGATGCTAAAGATAGAAACTTCAGAGGCCCAGGCCACTGGACAGTGGATGTTGAGGGGAGGGCAGGACCAGCATAGTGGAAGCAGCAGGCTTCCAACTGAAAGAGAAACAGCTACTTCACACTCTCAATGTATACACATTTGTGTGACGGATTCTATCCAAGGAAGGAGGAGGAAAAACATCGGGAGTATTGAATAAACAGCTTTACTTGTCCATGGCATCACACCCACAGCATGGCATCATACTGGACGCTCTTGGCAATAAAAAGTGAAAACATAGGAGGATCTTTATTTTATAAGAAGCTTATAATTTACATAGTATAAGCTAGAAACTTCTATTAAGAGGGAAACATGCCGGGCGCAGGTAGCTCACTATAATCCTAGCTACTCAGGGGGCTGAGATCTGAGGATCCCAGTTCAAAGCCAGCCCGGGCAGGAAAGGCCGGGAGACTCATCTCCAATAATAAACCACTCGAAAACTGGAAGTGGCGCTGTGGCTCAAGCGGTAGAGCACTAGCCTTGAGCTGAAGAGTGCAGGGACAGCGCCCAGGCTGAGTTCAAGCCCCATAACCGACAAAAAAAAAAAAAGACAGCAACATGCCGGGCACTGGTGGCTCACGCCTAAAATCCTAGCTCCTTAGGAGGCTGAAATCTGAGAATCGTGGTTCAAAGCCAGCCTGGGCAGAAAAGTCTGTCAGACTCTTATCTCCAATAAACCACTCAAAACCGGAAGTGGCCATGTAATTGTAACCCCTCTGTACAGTATGTTCACACAAAAAAAATAAAATTAAAAATTAAAAAAAAAACAAAAAAACCCAGAAGTGGCACTGTGGCTCAGGTAGTAGAGTGCTAGCTTTGAGCTGAAGAGCTAAGGGACAGTGCCCAGGCCCAGAGTTCAAACCCCAAAACCGACAAAAAAAAAAAAAAAGAGGGCAGCAATTTAAACCAATAGACTTCCTGTTACAAGTTAGTTTGGGAAAACTTGTCCTTGGAATGGGGGAGGTCATATCCAATAATGCTGCAGAAATTGCATGGTGCACTGGGGAAGGAACAGCATTAGGATTTAGAGGACCTGGTGAGTCTCACCGGAGTCTACCTGCCTTTAGACTTCCAGACTCTCAGATTTCTAATTCTGCATGGCTAGAAGAACAAACACCACTTCATCTAACTCACAGAGCTTTGTAAGAAAGAAATATCTATATAACTATATAATTTCTTAACCATTAAAAAATTACACATTGGGGGCTAGGAACATGGCTCAGTGGTAGATTGCTTGCCTTGAATGCATGAGGCCCTGGGTTCGATTCCTCAGCACCACATAAGCAGAAAAAGCCAGAAGTGGCGCTGTGGCTCAAGTGGTAGAGCACTAGCCTTGATGTGAAGAGCTGAGGGACAGCGCCCAGGCCCAGCATTCAGGCACCACGACCAACAACAACAACAACAAATTACACATTGGTTCACCCTTTGTTCTTTGTTTCACCTTCCCTTCCCCAAATCAGATAAACATGTATACAAGATACAGGGTATCAAAATCAAATACAGTGACAAAAGGGGATAAACCAAAGGAAAAAAAGAAAAGAAAAAAGAAATAACTTCCCACAGTACATTAAAAACAACAACAAAGAAAACCCTCTTGTTTTCATATCTTGGAGTTCATTTCGATATAGTCCTAAGTACATAGCTATTGAGCTATTGTGATCCTCTGCTAGGACTATCCTAGACATACTAGTTATTACAAATGAGGGAAACCATGGAGCCTATGTTTATTTGGGTTGAGGTTACTTCACTTAATATGATTTTTTTCCAAGTCTTTCTATTTCCTTACAAATGGGGTGTACCAATGCAACAGTGATACTCTCAGACACTATGTTGGAAATAAACTTTACAACTTGGGGGAGGGGGAGCAGGGAGAGGGAAAGTGGGAGAAAATCAAGGGACAAGAATTGTACTCATTACCTTACGTATATCACTGTAACCTCTCTGTACATCACCTTGGCAATAAAAATAAACTTAAAAAATACAAAAAGGAAGGTAATAATCTAAAATGTCATCTGTACTCTAATATCTAAAAAGAGAATTTTTATTTCTTTTTAAAAGTAGCATAGGATACCAGCACAACCATGTTCATTGCAGCATTATTTGCCAGAGCTAAGACGTGGAATAACCTAGATGCCCCTCAGTAGATGAATGGATCAAGATGTACACAATGGAGTTCTATACTTCAATCAGAAAGACTGACATTGTCCCATTGATAGGAAAATGGAAAGGCCTGGAAAAATTATATTAATCAAAGTAAGCCAAGTCCAAAGAAAAATATGTTGCATGGTTTCCCTCATTTGTAATAACTAGAATATGTCTGATATTCTTAACAGGGGTTCTCAATAGCCAATTGCTAAGTGCAGAGGACCATATGTAATGAAGTGTATCAACATGAACTCCAAGAATTGAAAACAAGAGTTTCTTATTATGCCCTGTATGTAGTTATTTCTTTTTTTGTTGTTTTAGTTTTTTGTATCCTTTGTCTTGTATATAAGTTTATCTATCTGTGGAAGGGAAAGGGAATCACAGAAACAGCAGGACAAAGGATGAACTAATGAAACATTGATAGTTTATAATTTACAATGAACTTTACAATTGTGGGGGGGGGGGTAGGGGGAGGTAGGAGGAGTAAACCCGAGAAAATGAGGGATGGGGTAACATTGTTTAATAAGAAATGTACTCATTACCTTACTTATGTAACTGCAATAGTTCAGTGGTATCCAAGACCTGGGGATCTGATCCTTAGCTATCTGTTTGCCTATCTATTGATCTATCTATCTATCTGTCTGTCTGTCTGTCTGTCTGTCTGTCTGTCTGTCTGTCTGTCTTTCTGTCTGTCTGTCTATCTGGAGTGGTTATTTGAGATGTGAAAGAAGATCCAAAATTAAACCTGGGAAAGTGTGAGACCCTATATGAAAAATAAGTAAAGAAAAAAGAGCTGGCAGTGTAGCTCAAGTGGTAAAGCACCTGTGGAGAAAGCATGGTACCTAAGTTCCAAAAGAAACATGAACCAAGTATCAATGCCCCATGCCTGTAATCCCAGCTACTCAGGAGGCAGAGATGAAGAGGACTGTAAATTGAGGAAAACAAGGCAAAAAGTTGTCAGTACTTCATCTCAGCCAATAGCTGGGGGTAAGTGGGCAACTGTCTGTCATTCAAGCCACACAAGAAGCATAAATAGGAAGAATGCAGTCCAGGCTGGCCCAGGCAAAACTGCAAGTTTTATCCCAAAAGTAATGAAAGAAAAGGGGCTGAGATATGGCTCAAGCCGTAGAGAACTTGTCTAGAAAGCATTAAGCTCTGAGTTTAAACCCCAGTACCACCACCAAAAAAAGGAAGGAAGGAAGGAAGTTAGGAAGGAAGGAAGGAAGGAAGGAAGGAAGGAAGGAAGGAAGTTAGGAAGGAAGGCAGGCAGGCAGGCAGGCAGGCAGGCAGGCAGGCAGGCAGGCAGGCAGGCAGGCAGGCAGGCAGGCAGGCAGGCAGGCAGGCAGGCAGGCAGGCAGGCAGGCCGTCATGGCTTTCTTTCACATTTAAGACTGTAGCAAGGCAAACTATTCACTATTCCTTGATGTTGAGTTACAGATTGGTCATCCATGTCCAGAACTGTCATGTTCAAGAAAGTGAGTCAGTAAAGAACAGCCTGGAATTGGGAAAAGCCAGCTGGAATTTTGAGTAAAACTTCCTAATTTTGTTCCTTAGTTATGTGAATATCTGATTTCTGCCTATATTTTTCTGCCATTTTGCTTAAGAAGAAAGAGAATATAATGTCAGATGACTCTGACTCTAGGCATGACGTCCAATCCTTGTAGTCTCAACTGCCAGACATTTTCCCTGGCCTCTTCTGATTTTCCTATGTGCCTCACCACTCCTTCCTACCTCTGCCCTCTAGCCAGTGCCAGGTCAGCTTTCTGACCTCTGACCTAGGCACCACAAGCATCCACCATCCTACGTGGGCTGGACCAGATACCTTTGCTTTTGTATAGCCACTCTACCAGGCCTGGAAATAGAAACATAGATGCCAGGCAGAGATGGTGAACTTATCTTGGTAATGAATTGGGTCTAACTACCACTTAGATAGAACTATAGAGAAACCTTTATGGGAATTTTCTAAGGACATTATCTTTTCCTTTAATATTATAAGAAAAATACTATGAATTGCTTTAAATGTGTTCATGAGAACTTAATAGCAGAGGAGAAAGCAGGGAAAAAAGAAGAATCTTTCCTGGCCCATTATCTCTAACCAAACTTAACCTTAGTTTGCCTTTCTAAGAATAAACAACTATTGAAGTCGACCCACATCAGCCCGAGCAAGCAAAACAGTCCATTTCCACAGTGTCACCATATTAGAGGACAACCTATCAGGCCATTCTTTATGATGGTCAATGACAGGGCCTTATCCTTATGGTAGCAAGTCTACTGTTAATCTTATTCACATCAAAATTAAGAACACATTCATATTTTAAAAAGAGCGTTGATCAGGTTAATGACTTTCTATTCTGAGAATAAAAATCTTAAAATAAAAAATTAAAATAACTATTTTAATTGTGTGATTCTAAAAAAAAAACCTGTGATGTTTCTGGATTTATGAGAAAGGAAAAGTAGGAATGATCATGTTGTTAATGCTATTTGAGGCACCATCTTACTATGCAGCCCAGGCTGGCCCCAAGAAGATGCTCCATCTTTACTTGCCTGTTCAGTGGAACCCAGAGAAAACCAACATAGACGTTGTTACCCATGGACTGTTTGACATCTATAATCTTTACTGGCTTTACATTATATGCATACAACAATATAACCTGTAACAAAAATAAAAGCATATAAAATGTAATGTCAAAATTACACTTGTCTTCAAAATTCAGCAGGATTCCTCTTTGCACAAAAGAACAATTAAGACTTTATTCCCCTAATGCACTTTAAAGGGAAATGATCTGAAAAAATTGTGCAAAAGTAGATGTGATGGCACAAGCCTGTTACCTCAGAACTTGGGAAGCTGAAACAGGAGGATGGAGAGTTCAAGTTCAAGGCAACTGCAGACTACATAGCGAGACTGTATCTCAATTAAAAAAAAAGCTTCATATATATTTATGTATATACTAAGTCCAGGCTAAAAACTTGTGATCCTCCTGCCTCTGCCTCCACAGTATGGGCATGTGTTACCTCATCTGGCTCAACAAGTTACTTTTGAAGACTGACATTTTGTATTGAATTGCACTTAAATATCAGCCTTTGGTAGCCCTTGGTAGCAAGTGCAAGTACAACTTGTAAGCATCCAACTTTGTTTTTATCACTTACCTTGTAACTATTCAGAATAAATAGGGCATCTTAAAATGATGACTGATGAATGAAAAACAGTACCGAAGCATATCATGGAAATGTAATACACAAGGAACAGAATAAAGATGCTTGAGTTTCCAGAGTCACAAATAAAGGCTTTGGGTCTCACAGGCAAGATATAACCAAAGGGAAAGAATCATTCTATCTAAGACATAGATTTCCACTATCTTAACCAATGAACAAAATGCCTATCATATAATATTCACTTAATAAGTGTTTCATTGTATATGATTGAAGTGTGTGTGTGTGTGTGTGTGTGTGTGTGTGTACATGCATGTGCTTACTAGGCAGGTGCTTTCTAGGCAGGTGTTGTACTACTTGAACCACACTTACAGCCTTGGATGTGTGTGAAATAAACTGTATATACTTTTCTTTTTTATTTTTTTGAAGTACTTCTATTTTCCAGTGATGACTTTTCCCATCTCCAAACTCTCTCTGAATGCATGTACTACTTTAGCATTTGTTCCTTTCTTGCTAGCAAGACATAGGATGAAAATCAATCTATCTATTGAATTTTGTTTTTAACATATATTTTATAATATATATACTAAAGTGGCCGTAACATGTTTTTATCTACTGTATGTATTGCATATATTTTTCTTGTGTTTCTTTTAAAAATGAAACTCATGTTCTACTTTATTTATTCCTGACCAATTAATATTTCAGAAAATATGATAATTTGGAAACTACTATAGTCATCTCCCCTGTAAACTATCACAGATTTGTTATTTTAGAAGATATATGGAATATCTAGCAAGGATTGCCAAGGATTAAATTGTGTGGGAAAGACGAAAATATTAGATGTATCCACAGATTCAACAACTACTTATAGAAAATATTGGAAAAAATTCATCTATACTGAACACAAAGACTGTTTTCTTGTTAGTATTCCCTATACAAGAACTATATGCAGAATTTACATTTATTTGTATTGTCAGTAAACTAGAATTATACTGAAAGAATACAGGTGCATTGTGATCTCTAGAACTGTATCTTCTAAGATACACAGGAGCATGTGTGTATATGCACACATGTGCATGTGTAGGTTATATGCACATATGTCATTTTATATAAGACATAAGCATTCATGGCTATGGTTATCTCTGGGAGGTCCTAGAGCCAGCCCTCTGCATATACCAAGGGATGACTATACTTTGTAAGACAGGAAATGGCTTCAAATAGTCCTGAGAATAATATGGTAAAGCTTCTCATTATCTGATTAAGAAGACATGTATAATCAGTCCAGAATCAGTAACAGTTTCCAGTCTAAGGAAGTAAGATGAAGAGGCCAGTGTGAGAAGCAAGCATTGGAGGAGAAAGGGACACGGCTCAGGAGGTTCCAGGACGTGACAGGGTCACATGAGCTACAGACAGTCCCAGTGACACAGTTAGAGGGGTCAACGTCCAGGCAGGGAGAGTGTGAGCATAGACCAATACCGAAGATGAAAAGCAAATTAAAATGCTGGGCAGAAGGAAATGGTGAGGCAGGTATCTTATGGGAAAAGGCTTTTGGCTCTTCTTTGAGAAAGCATCAATGAAAGGAATTCCTTTTTTTCTTTTTTTAAATTTTAATTTTATCCTCAAGCTGATGTGCAGAGGGGTTACAGTTACATAAGTAAGATAGTGATTACATTTTTTGTCTAATTTGTTACCCCCTTCCTCATTTATCTTCCTCTTTCCTCTTTCCCTCCTCCATCCCCTCCCCAAAGTTGTACAGATCATTTCCATTGTCTTGTATCAGCATCGCATAGGTTGCATAGGTTCCCCTTTGTCCTTTGTCTCATCATTTTGTTGTTCCCCTTCCTTTCCCTAGTTCAGATAAACATATATAAAATACCCAGGGCACCAAAATTGATTACAGTGACAATGAGGGAGAAACCATAGGGGAAAAAACACAAAAGAAAAAAGAAATCACATAATACATTGAGAACAATAACCAAGAAAAACCTCTTATGTCAATACCTTGAAGTTCATTTCGCTTAGCATCATCTTATATGGTCATATGTACATAGCTATTGAGATATTCTGCTCATCTGCTAAGACTATCCTAGATGTATACTGCTTATTACAAACAATGAAAACCACAGGACCTATGTTTCCTTGGGTCTGACTTATTTCACTTAATATGGAAAGCAGTATGGGGGTGCCTCAAAAGACTACACATAGAGCTCCTCTATGACCCAGCAGTCCCATTTCTGGGCATTTGCCCAAATGACCACAAACAAGGTCACCCTAAAGCTACCAGCACAACTATGTTTACTGCAGCATTATTTACCATAGCTAAGATATGGAACCAACCCAGATGCCAGATGAATGGATCAAGAAAATGTGGTACACACACACACACACACACACACACACACACACACACACACACACACACACACACACACACACACTGGAATTCTATGCTTCCATCAGAAAGAATGACACTGTCCCATTTGTAAGGAAATGGAAGGACTTAGGAAAAAAATCATATTAAGTGAAGTAAGCCAAAGGAATTCTGGGGTGGAAGTTTCCCTGCAAAAAGCTATACTGACCAACTCTCCACTTAAAAAAATTAACCAATTTCTAGTGCTGCCCTAGAACTAGAGACACTCTTCAATCTTCATTGGTTCAGGGACTGACAACCACTTCCTTTTAAGTTATAGTGACATAAGCTTTACACCCAAAAGGAAGATTTAACTCTATCATTATATTATGTACCATAGGTTCTATTTGGAAGATATCCCCCGGAGCTCTGTCCAGAGGAGGAAGGTACCACTGAAAGCAAAGTTCTTTGTTTAGGGCTTGTGTTGCCATTTCTAATGAAAAAACATCCGTATCAGATGAATTGGCAGTGAGATTTAAAGACAAAATAGACTGTATGGAACTTTCATGAAATACCTAGAAAACAAAAAAACTCATGTCAGTTTAATTGCTAATAAGAAACTTATTTAATATTTAAAGCAGATTAAATGGATCTATTAGGAATGCTAGGACTTAGCTTACTTCATGAAGGTAATCTTAACTATTCTTAAATAATTATATAGTAAATTCACCTACTATAAAAACATGCTTTAGAAGTAGTGGAGACAAGTGTCTTTCACTTTGGTGAGTTACGCAGGATAGAGACTTGGAGGAAGATGCCCCTGGAGCCATTTCAGTTCAAGGTATACTACTGCTTCTACAAAGTATCTTCTATATTTTTGTTATTCATTGAAAAATAGATAGGGGGTCTCTTTACAATTTATTGTAAAACTTTCAATTTCAGTACCATATATAAACCAATGTTTGCTCTCATTTTCTCATTATGTGAATGTAGTTGTTTTGCAAGTTGTGAAATCTGTGCCCAGCTACTTTTATAGAGCTTGGCAACTGTGCCAGAAGTCTTCAAATTGCTTAAAATGCAATTATTCAACTGCACAAATTATTTAGTTAGTTGCCAAAAGTAGCAAAGCTGGTTACTATTTAATAACAAAGTAACAAGCTAGACAGAAAGGCAACAGTGGTAATATTATGTCAAGTTGAAGAGGAACTGTCAATGGGACACAAACTATTTTCATAATTAGCTTCCTCTTATTCCCAAGATCACAGCACAATAGCTGGGAAGCAGTTTCTCTTACACATTTTGACATCTCAGGCTGCTCAAGGTCTGTTGACCAAGGGGAATGCACCAAGAAGAAATGCTTGGTGTTTCTATAAGGCTTTGTCCCTTCCCATTATCTTGGAGCCTATTCAAGATATGTCTGTGAATACAAGTCTTCAAAATAAAATAGAAAGAGAAAGACACTGACCTTTCAAGTTGTCTACCAATAGAGGAAAAAAGATATTTTGACTGAAAGATAATATTAAATATGAAAACTTGCCACAACTGTCTAAAGACATATTTAAAAGCCAGAATCCTCATTTACCATCAGCACTGTAATAATTGAAGCATGAGCAAAACGCAAAATAAACAAGATTATTGGAATTAAATTATCCCTTTTAATTAAGAGTAATTCTATATCAAGAGGTTTGCAAAAGAGATTAACTAAACAATTGATTTAAAAGATTTCTCATACTTTTTCATATCAGCATAACTTTTAGAGTCTGAAAACTACCTTAGCAGAATAGTTGCTAAATTTAATGTCAGCTAGTGTAGAAAAAAGCAGGCACCTTTTGTTCTAATATATGTTGTATCTAGTAGCACGGTGGTCTAATACTGCTAAATAACCCAAATGAATATTAAAAACAGGCATTTATCTTTTCCCTTGTTTTTACAATATTATTCTATCTAATTACTAGTGAGATTAATTTCATTTGCTAATTGGTGATACACCAAGTACTTTTATATGTGTTATTTATCCTTTGGAAGGAATAAGCACAGACCTATCGCATGATTCCTAGTTTTCCACAGTCCTATAAACAATGAATCACTTCTTCAACTAGTGAGATATATGAACCTGCAGATTGTGGCAGCACGCAGTCTGTAAGCATGAGTAACTCAACACCGTGTACAGCTTTAATCATCTATTTTTGGAATCTTTAATGCAATATTTGGTACCTTTGTGTTTCCACCACAAAGCACCAACAGACTTTATATGCAGGCTCACACAACTGATGAACACAACAGAGAACACTGATTGTTCTGGAAAAGGTGTCTACTTCTTTGTGTGTATGTGTGGGGGGAAGCCTTTTGAAGTATCAATTTATGGAAAGAGTTTGATTGAAATAACCTCCTGAGTGATTAAAGGCTCAAAAATGTTATTATACAAATCAGCCAAGCTTGGAGTTTATATAAAAAAAATCCAAAAGGCTTTATGCTTGTTAGCTGTCTCTCCCAGTGAAATGAACACATGATTAGGTAGCTTGCACCTGTCAGGCGAGTGACAGTAATCTCCAGGGCTGATTATCCTGAGAGAATGTTACACTAATTATATAAAAAAAGAGCAAACAGGGTGAAACAACTTTTTGATAACACTACTGCCATTAGAAATGTCATATGTATTTACAATGCATTCAAGGCTGTGTTTCTGGAATACCATCCTGGGGGAGTGAGTAATGAGAGGCTGCCTCTCATACCAAAATATGCTACCAGAGCTCCTTGCAGGACAGTATTTAGGACATGCATTTTAGTTTCTGTCTTATTCAATATGTACAGGAAAATATCTACAGGAATTGCTATTCTTAGCTTTTCTGTTCCCTGTCTCCTACTTCCAACAGACAAAATGCCTGGGATACAGGATAATACTCCTCAGAATGAATTTCAGTTCTAACAGACGGATTAATCACCAGCCAGTGCTAGATGGCAACAATATCATCCTTCATCTACTATTTCCTTCCACCTAGGAGGAAATGGGATACTAACAGTAGGTATGGATTGAAACATTCTATATTTTTATTAATAGGGTGATATTAAAATGAAAAATGGCTGTCTGAAATATGCTGTTCTGAACAGCAATGCAGAAAATTCGGAGACATTTTGGAGATTTATGAAAACAGCCAGAACAAATATTTGAAACGTGAAGGTGAAAAGCCAGGCTGTTTGGTTAACCTACCTATGTGGTAACACAGAAAGCTTTCCAAGAATCCTGAGGGAACTAGAAACCTTTGTGCTGCATAGAGGTTAATGTGCTCCCTTCAGAAACACATGGGCAAGGCCTGGGAGCCATGGTTCATACCTATAACACCAGTTCCTGAGAGTAGTAGAGTGGAAGAATTGCTATTCAAGGCCAAGCTGGGCAAAAAGTTCATGAGACCTATTAATAAAAGGTGGGTGTGGTGGTGTGCACCTGTTATCCCAGCTATACAGGAAGTATAAAACAGAATGATTGTAGTCAAGGACTACCTGATGTAAATGGGAGCTTTTATAAAAAACAAACAAAACACTACAAAGCAAAAAGGCCGGGCATATGGCTTAAGTTGCAGAGTGGCTGGCTGCCTAGCAAGCTTGAGGCTCTGAGTTAAATCCCAGGAAGGAAGGAAAGGAAAAAGGGAGAAAAGGCTAGAAAAGGTGATTTTTATCAAGTTTTTCATAGATACATAACATTTTAAAACACCTTGGTCAGGTCCAGTGTCTCATGCCAGTAATCCCAGCTACTCAGGAGGCCGAGAACTAGAGGCTAACATTTGAAGCCAGCCAAGGAAGAAAACCCTTCAAGACTCCATCTCTAATTAACTGGCAAAATACTAGGCTAGAGGCATGGCTCAATTGGTAGAGCACAATTCATAAGCAAAGAAGCTGAGTAGAATGCAAGGTAGCCATAGTACCAGCACACACCCACACCGCTCCCCCCCACATACACACACCAAATGAAATAAAACCTTACCTTGACTGAAGAATCACTTAAGTCTTTTTCTGAAAACTGTATATCATTAAATCCTTGAAGAAGTTCTTTTGGAAATTCATCAATACAAGAAGAAGAATAAAAATTTAAGACTTTTTTAAGATAAAAATGCATTTCTTTTTGGCGTAAAATCAGTCTAGAGTTGTAAAGGGAGGTGAGAAGTGTATCATCTGGCAGAGAAATTCCAGATTCTGGAGTTGTAGATGCTTTAGGAAGAAAAATACTTTTATTTAGGCTAGTATTAGGAATGAGAATGGTCTCAATATTGTTGCATTTGCTCACTAACACCATTCTACACTGGCTAGTGGCTGCTAATCACTTCCCTCCCCGAACTCTATGCCAATGTTGCTCCTTGTTATAGGAAAGAAAGAAAACTTCAAAGGCATGTGAAGATGTGTATTTACAATGGCACTGTGTATTCTGTCTACCATTTTATTTTGGACTCTTCTCAAATTGTTGCTTTACCTTAAATGGATAATTTGGGTATACGTTATTTAGAGAGAATGGGAAGACCGGGACTGAGAAAAGGAAAAGAGCCAAGGAGTGAGGATAAATGAGCAGGCTCTGGAAATTAGCAATGCTCTGCTGGAGTTCTCTTGTAAAACCATAGAAAACAGAGCCAGAGACATGGAAAAGTTGGTGGTTAATATATCATCTCCCAGGCTTCCTTCTTCAGTGAGGTGAACCGATGGATTTTGTCTACCAATTGCAGCTGCGGATAGCCCAGGTGAGAAAGGCTGCAGAAAGGCACAAGAAGTACCAGCCAGTGAATGCAGATGAGAGCTGGGTTGCTTTGGAGATTTGCATTACCAAGATGGTGGCTCCCATCCATATCTTTCTCCTCTGAATTTCCTTTATTCTACCCCCAATCACAATAAACCTTTAATTTTGATGCCTTTTGGAGTGCTTGCTCGTCTCACTGCTAATTCCTGAGGATTGTACTCAGCCACTATGTCAGCCCATTCACTTGGGTAGATTCCCCACTACTTTTGCCAGGCATTGCCTGGTCTTTCTATTTGTACTAGTGACCAGCACTGGGTCACCAATTCCAAGAATGCAGGTAAGATATAGTACATCTTGTCTCAAAATTTCCAGGTTTTTGTTTAGATATTCTTTAACTGTATTTTTTTTTTGTCTTTTCTTTTTTTTGGTACTGGGGATCAAATCCAGGACATTGTACTTGCTAAGCACATTGCCACTGAGCGACAGCCCAGTCCTAGATATTCTTTAGATAGAGATGAAAATAAAATTCTATACAGTTAAATATCCCTTATGAAGGAATGCCCTCTTTTCCACATGACAGATACTGGAGCCATCTTTCCTCAAAGCCCAATCAATTTCATCCTTCTCATGTTATAAAATTCCATCCTTTTATGCTATAAAACATAACAACACACTGTGATTATTGGTTCTTAACTGTTTTGAGCCATGAACCCCATAGGTAATCCTAGGGCTAGATGTCTCTATGTCATCATGTTTTTAAATCTACAAAATCAAGTATGTAAAATTTTGAAGAAAACCAATTATCTTGAAACAGTATTTTTTCAAAGGTTCATGGAACCTGTGTTAAGAATCCCTGAGGTTCTGGGAAGATGGTGGAGGAGAAGCTGGAGGCTAAACAAGCTCTAGCATAGAAAGCAGTTTTAGTGTTCCAGTGAACAGTCGTAGGCCAGAGAATTACACCAAGTGTGCTATCACAGTACAGAGAATTTGGCCAGAGAGGGAAAATCCAGGCATGGAGACAGATCTGAGTACTTTCTGGTAGCCACGCCAGCAGTGGCGTTGGCGGTGGCCATAGCCGCCATACCTACAACATGGAGAGTCCGGGACAAAGGCGCCAGATGCAGCAGGCAAGCGGATTCTACTCAACACCAGCAAGAATTGGCAAGGAGCAGATATCTTCATCCTGCAGATCGCAGACCAGAGACGACCCAGGAACCAAGACTCCAGCATGAGCAGAACCCTGACATCGTCACTCCTCACAGAGGAGGGAAAGCCACTCCTCCTCCCTACCACCACTGGATATCTCCATCTTTGATACTGACAAAGGCCTGGCTGAGCAGCTAGCTCCAACTCAGGCCTTGGAAGAAAACAAAAGAGTCATTTAGCAGGTCACAGAAACCTGACCTGACCTACCAGGCTCAGCTCCACCCAGGGGAAAGTCACCCAGCCCAGGCAGAAAGAGCTCTCCCCCAGGAGTGACTTTCTTCACTGGGTAAACAGAGCCAGAGGCTGCCCCTCCCTACAGCAGCCTAATCAATTGAAATTCAGCAAACAAAACCTGAGAATGGCTCCAGGCTGGGCTCTGTGAGTATATCAGAAGCTAACCCCTCAGGAAAAAGCTACTGTTTGCTGAAAGGCCTCAACTCTACCCAGAACCTAGCCTCATCACAGCATCTCCAAACTAGAGGAAACAGCCATCTCCCTCTTTTGTGATACTCAAAGCAGATCTGCCTCCCACTGAACTAGCCTGGGAGGAGGATCACAAAATCCTGGGTAAAGCAGAGCATTTTTCTCGATGTTCAAACAAACAGACTTAAGAAACCGATCAAGCCACAAGAAAACCAAACACCACAAGCAGACCGGAGACTCCAGCAAGAAACTAATTAGGGACACAAGGGAGATACAGGATCTTCCCATCCACATAACCCCTCTCCCCCCCCCCAAAAAAAATAAAAGAACTTTCTTTTTGTACCTTTTTAAAAAAAATTCTGTGTTTTTTTTTAAATTGTTTTCTATTAACCTTTTGTCCTCATAATTTTTATTTTAGGTGTATATGTGTGTGAGTGTGCTTTTTTCTAATCTCTACTGACCTTTTGGTTCTTTTTTTTCTTTCTCATTCTTTTCATTTTTTCTTCTCTTTTGTTCTTTTTTGCGTGTCTCAATTGTGGTTCTGCTCATTCTCAGATATATCCATCATCGATTATTAGACCTTATCCCCCATTGTGTACACACTTAATCCAGAAATTTATTACTCAATTCAAAACTTCTTAGGCTTAAATTCCTTAATATCAGTAATATCTCTTTATACCTATACAATTTTTAAGAATTTTTATTTTTTAGTTTTTCATATCTTCTTTCTATCCCTCCCCTCCTCATCCTATCCCTTTCTTCTTCAATTTCACCTTTAAAATTACATAATTTTTAAGTTTCACTTTTTAAATATAAATTTTTGTTTTTCCATTTTTCCTTGTCTCTTTTTTTTCTTTCTCTCTCCTATCAGTCTGTCCAATCCATTTACCTCTTTGAGATTAGGACTTGGTTAATTTCACTCTCCTATTACCTTTCCACATCTCTTGAATCCTATTTTTTCCCACATCTCTCCCTAAACCTAATAGTTTCTGGTTTGCCAAATTCTTCTTTGCTGTTCTTAGCCCATTAATACATAGTTGTTTGATGTTGAATAGATTGTATCTGTTGAATTAGATTGTATCTGCTGCCTTTTGACTGTGCAACTACAGAAATTTGGTTGATGCTTGCCTTAAAATAGTGTTCTAGCACAAAATTGGTGTTAATTTCATACCATAAGGGCAGAACAAGCCATAAAAACACAAGAAAAATGGCAAGTCCGGGTATCTCAACTCCCATTCATGATAATCAGGTGGCAGAACAGATAATGAATAATCCAGAGGAGAGTTCCCAAAAAGCTCTACAAACACTACTGGTAAACATGGTGAATGAAAATATTGAAAACCTGCAAAGGACTCAGTGTGAGCATGATAGGGAGAGAGAGGAGGCAAACCAAAGATCAATACAGGAATCTCATGAGCATGAGGAAACTACTCAAAGATTTATACAGGAATTGTGTGAGCAGGCTGAGAACAGTCAAAGAGAACTACAGGAATTGCATGAACGTGAGGAGGCTAATCGAAGAGTGATACAGGAATTGCGAGAGCAGGATGAGAATAGACAAAGATCAATAGAGACATTCATAGAATCCATAAACAGACAGCTGAAAGAATTCAGGGAGACCACAAAAGGAATGCTGAATGGAGCCCAACAGAAGGAATCGGAGTCCAAGGAAACCATAGCCAATCAACTAAGTGTTGAGAATAAACACTGAGCACCAAATTAAGGAAGTAAAGAAGTTCATACAAGATCTAAAACGAAGCTCCAACAAAGAATTTAAAGCCATCAAAGCCGATTAATTAGAAGGAAAAGAAATAAAAAACAAAGTAGAAAGTCGGGACAGTAGGTTAGACCATGCAGAAGATCGAATCTTGGGGATTGAAGACAGTCTAGATATTATAGAGAAAGAACATACAACTATCCAAGACAAATCCAAGAAATATGATAGATCTATTCAACATTTGGAAGACACCATCAGAAGGCCTAATCTGAGGATAATGGGTGTAGAGGAGCACCTAGAGATAGAAGTTAATGGTCTAGGAAATTTGTTTAACAGGATCCTAGCAGAGAACTTCCCAAACATGCAAAAAGATAGGCCTATTCAGATTCATGAAGCTTTCAGAACCCCAAATAGACCAGACCAGAACAGGATATCCCACCGTCACATTGTAATCCACACAGGATCAATTCAGATCAAGGAAAAGATCCTTAAAGCTGTCAAGGAGAAAAGATCAATCACCTATAAAGGGAAAACAATTATAATCTCCTGATTTCCCAGAAGAGACAATTAAAGTAAGAAGAGCCTGTAATGATGTATGCCATGCCCTAAAGACAAACAACTATCAACTAAGAATACTGTACCCAGCTAAACTCTCCTTCATAACTGAAGGTCAAATAAAAATCTTCCATAGCTAAGAAAAACTGAAACACTATATCTCCATGAAACCAGCCCTACAAAAGAAACTTAAAGATGTCCTAACATAGAAAACCAACAAGGCCACAATAAAGGCCAAGAAACCACACCCAAACAGAATCCAAGAACCATAGGAAGAACCCAGTTGCCACAGCCCCCAAGAAGGTGGATAAAATGGCAGGAACTCCCAAATATCTCTCAATCCTATCTCTCAACATTAATGGACTTAACTCTCCAATTAACTGACAGACTGTCTAGTTGGATTAAAAAGCAAGATCCTTCTATCTGCTGCCTTCAGGAGTCACACCTTGCCCATAAAAACAAACATATTTTGAAAGTGAAAGGCTGGAACAAAATCTACCAAGCAAATGGCCCCCATAAACAGGCAGGAGTTACAATCCTAATATCAGATAAAATAGACTTCAAATTAAAATTAGTGAGAAGAGACAAAGAAGGTCACTACATACTACTTAAGGGATGTCTCCTTCAGGAGGATATTACAATTCTAAATATTCACTGAACAATGGAGCACCCAAATTTATCCAAGAAACACTACTTTCCTTCAAATCTCACATAGATCCAAAGACATTAATTGTTGGGGACTTTAACACACCACTATCCCCACTAGATAGATCAACTCGGCAAAAATTCAACAGAGAAACCTCAGATCTAAACAACCGCATAGATCAAATAGACTTAACAGACATCTACCGAATATTTCACCCAGCAGTATCAGAATACACATTTTTCTCAGCAGCACATGAAACATTTTCCAAAATAGACCACATTTTAGGTCACAAAGCAAACTTAACCAAATTCAGAAACATTGAAGTTATACCTTGCATTCTCTCAGACCACAGGGAATAAAATTAGAACTCAACACCAAAAGCCACCAAAGAAAGTCCTGTAACACATGGAGGCTGAATAACACACTGTTAAATCACGGGTGGGTCATGGAAGAGATTAGAAATGAAATTCAAACGTTCATGCTATTCAACAAAAATGAACACACAAATTACCAGCTCCTCTGGGACACAGCAAAGGCAGTACTCAGAGGCAAGTTTATAGCTCGGAGTCCCTACATCAACAAATTGGAGAGATCTGAAACCAACAATTTAATGAGACATTTGAGCCTCCTTGAAAAAGAGCAGCAAGAAAAACTCCAATCCAGTAGATGGAAAGAAATAATTAAAATTAAATCAGAATTAAACGAATTAGAATCCAAAAAAAAAAAAATAGAATCAACAAAACAAAGAGTTGGTTCTTCGAAAAAATTAATAAAATTGACAGACCCTTAGCAAATCTTATCAGAAAAAGAAAAGAACACACCCAAATAAACTCAGAGATGAGAATGGAAACATCACCACAGAAACAACCAAGATTCAGAACATTATAAGGGAATACTTCTCAAACCTTAAGTACTTGGCAGAAATGAACCTTTTCCTAGCAAATATCGACATGCTGAAATTAAACCACGATGAGTTAAACCATCTTAACAGGCCCATATCAAGCATTGAAATAGAAACAGCAATAAGAGATTTCCCATCTAAGAAAAGCCCAGGACCAAATGGTTTTACAGCAGAATTCTACAAGGCCTTCAAAGCAGAACTCACACTAATACTCGTCTTCAACTCAATGAAATTGAAAGAGAAAGTTCACTACCAAATTCCTTCTATGAAGCCATCATAACACTATTCCCAAAACCAGGCAGGGACTCATCAAAGAAAGAGAACTATAGACCCATTTCTTTGATGAACATTGATGTAAAACTTCTCAACAAAATTTTGGCCAATCGACTTCAACAATTCAGCCAAAAAATCATACAACACGATCAAACAGGATTCATTTCAGGGATGCAAAGCTCATTCAATATATGCAAATCAATTAATATAATTCATCCTATCAACAAGAGCAAGGATAAGAACCACCTGGTTATCTCAATAGATGCATAAAAAGCATTTGACAAGATCTAGCACCCCTTTATGATGAAGGTTCGGGAAAAATTAGGAATCCATGGAACATTCCTCAATACAATAAAGGCTGTATATGACAAACCTACAGCCAGCATTATACTTAATGGTGAAAAACTAAAGCCATTTCTTCTTAATTCAAGAACGAGACAAGGGGGCTGGGAAGGTGGCTCAGTGGTAGAGCGCTTGCCTTGCATGCATGAGGCCCTGAGTTCGATTCCTCAGCACCACATAAGCAAAAAGAAAAAAAAAAAAAAAGAATGAGACAAGGATGTTCACTCTCTCCACTTCTCTTCAATCTAGTATTAGAATGCCTAGCTACAGCAATAAGACAAGATGCAAACATAAAAGGGATCCAAATAGGGAAAGATGAAGTAAAACTCTCCCTCTTCGCAGATGACATGATCTTGTATTTGAAGAATCCCACGGACTCCACTCCCAAATTACTCAAGCTGATTCAAAACTTTAGCAAAGTAGCAAGGTATAAAATTAACCCTCAAAAATCAATGGCTTTTCTGTATGCCAACAATGAGAAAAGTGTGGCTGAAATCAGGAAAGCAACTCCATTTGTAATAGCCCCACAAAAAAATAAAATACCTAGGAATTAACTTAACCAAAGAAGTGAAGGACCTCTATGATGAAAACTTCAAAAATCTGAAAAAGGAAACCAAAACAGAACTTAGAAAGTGACAAAACCTCCCATGCTCCTGGATTGGAAGGATCAACATTGTGAAAATGGCAATACTTCCTAAGGCTATCTACAAATTCAATGTTATTCCTATCAATATTCCAACCTCATTCTTCAAGGAAATCGTAGAGGCAATCCAAAAATTCATATGGAACAATAAAAGACCCTGAATAGCCGGGCGCTGGTGGCTCACGCCTGTAATCCTAGCTACTCAGGAGGCTGAGATCTGAGAATCGCGGTTCAAAGCCAGCCCGGGCAGGAGAGACCATGGGACTCCTATCGCCAATAAAAACCACCAGAAAACCGGAAGTGGCACTGTAGCTCAAGTGGTAGAGCGCTCGCCTTGAGCTGAAGAGCTGAGGGACAGCGCCCAGGCCCAGAGTTCAAGCCCCACGACCGACAAAAAAAAAAAAAAGACCCTGAATAGCAAAAATAGAAAGAACAGTGCTGGAGGAATATCAATACCAAATTTCAAACTCTACTACAAAGCCATAGTAATCAAAACAGCTTGGTACTGGCACAAGAACAGACCTCAGGACCAATGGAATAGAATTGAAAACCCAGAAATAAACCTACAGAACTATAGCCATCTAATCTTCGATAAGGGAGCTAAAAAAATAGAATGCAAGAAAGAAAGCCTCTTCAGTAAATGGTGCTAGAAAATTGGTTAACTACTTGTAGAAAACTAAAGCTAGATCCTTATATATCATCCTGCACCAGAATCAACTCCAAGTGGATCAAAGACCTCAGAGTCAAAGCAGACACTCTGAAAACATTATAGGATGGAATAGGAGAAACCCTAGGTCTCCTTGGCACAGGCCAAAATTTTCTTAATAGAGACCCAGAAACACAACAAATCAGAGAAAGGTTGGACAAATGGGATTGCATGAAATTTCAGAGCTTCTGCATGGCAAAGAACATAGCTAGCATGATCAATAGAAAGCTCACAGATTGGGAGAAGATCTTCACTAGCCATACACTAGCCATACAACAGACAATGATCTCATATCTAAAATATACCTGGAACTCAAAAATTAAATCCCCCAACAACAAATCCTCAAAGAAACAACTGCCCAATAAATATATGGGCTAAAGACTTAAAGAGAAACTTCTCTGAAGAGGAAAGAAGGATGGCCAATAGACACATGAAGAAATGCTCAACCTCTCTAGCCATAAAAGAAATGCAAATCAAAACAACATTGAGATACCACTTCACCCCGGTTAGAATGGCTATAATCAAGAACTCGAATTAAACAACAGATGCTGGAGGGGATGTGGACAGAAGGGAACCTTACTGCATTGTTGGTGGGAGTGTAAACTTGTTCAACCACTTTGGAAAGTAGTATGGAGGTTCCTCAAAAGACTCCACATAGAGCTCCCCTATGACTCAGCAGTCCCACTTTTGGGCATTTACTCAAATGTTTACAAACAAGACCACACTAAAGCTACCAGCACAACTATGTTTACTGCAGCATTATTTAACATAGCTAAGATATGGAACCAACCCAGATGCCCCTCAGTAGATGAATGGATCAAGAAAATGTGGTATATATACACAATGGAATTCTATGCCTCCATCAGAAAGAATGACATTTCCCCATTTGTTAGGAAATGGAAAGGCTTGGAAAAAATTATATTAAGTGAAGTAAACCAGCCTCAAAGAAACATAGGTCTCATGGTTTCCCTTATTTACAATAACTAGTATATTTCTGAGACAAGCAGAAAAGGTCAGATAAGTTGATGTTAGGTGAAATGAACCCCAAGATAAGTATTCAAATGTTATTTTCTTTCATGCGATTGTTTCTAACAAATTTGTAAGATGATTTCTTTGTTGCTTTGTATGTCCCTCCCCCACTGTATAATCCCTGCTTTCACTATATTTGATGTTGGTATAATTTGTGGAGGGGAAAGGCAAAACAAATCGTTTAAACAGGGATACAGGTGGACCCATTGCAACAATGAGATGTACAAGTCGTTATGTCAAAAAACACAAGTCGTTATGTCGAAAAACAAACTTTACAACTTTGGTGGGGGGAGGAGAGGGGAAGGGATGGGAAGGGGAAACAAAGGAGGAGGGAACAATGTAGTCAATATCTTGCCTATGTAACTGTAACCCCTCTGTATGGTATTTTCACAATTAAAAAAAAAAAAAGAATCCCTGAGATTTTCATGGTCCAGGCGAGCCTACCCAGAAGTGTCAAGAGCATTTCACAATTATCCATATAACTCTGACTTCTATAGGCACATCAACACCTACCCAGCAGTTGGCTCATGTTGTTGATCCTTTGCAGGTGTATGTAATAGCGTAGCAGAAGGACCCAAGTAATATCCACTTTCGTTTGAATCTTTTTTCTACCATCTGTGCTTTCAGGAATGTCTTCATTTTCAAACAGAAGTGAAGCCTCAAAGTCAGCTTGGTAGTCATCTGAAAATTTTTAAAAATGAAAAATGAGATTATGCTTGCCTTGAAAACCAAACATGTACAACTCATAAAGACTGACACATAATCATATGGTGAATTTTCAAAATTATCACAAGACACCAAACATAATATCAAAAAGAAAAATACTAGGCATATAAACAATATCTAAAACACATATTTTTCTCTAATTTTTACCAGCCAATAGGAAAAATTCAAGGAATTAACGTTCAATGAGCAATTCCCAGGAATGAGTATAGTTTTGACAGGTGAATTAGAAAAGTTAGTCCATTCAAGGATACACGTTAGAATCACTGAAAATCAAGGCTATGGGGGGCAGAGAGAGGAATGTACAAATTAAATACAGAAAGACATTAATGTCTGAAGATAGTATCAGTCACAACACCATAAAGTTGGAATATTTATATAACACATGTGAGATCAGCTGGTTAGGAAAACAATTTGGTCAGATCTATTAAAACTGAAAATTCTAATGCTCATTATACACAGAGTATTGCTTATGGTCCTGGTAGTTTTATAACATGAAGAGAAGGAAACTTGGAAAAAAACAAACAGAAGTCTATGAATTTGATGTAATTTAAAAGGATTGAATTAGATCTAAAAGAAAAAGGAAAAGTAGTGTGGACAGGTACTGGTGCTCATACCTGTAATCCTAACTATGCAGGAGGCTGAGGTCCAGACACTCTTGGTTAGAGGCCAATCTGGTCAGAAGTCTGAGAGATTCTACCTCCAAAATAACCAGTAAAAAGCTGGAATAGTGGTTGAAAGGGTAGAGAGAAAGCCAGGCAAAACAAACCAAGAAAAACATAAGGCTCTGAGTTCAAACTCTGGTACTAACAATTTGTAAAAAATAGTATAGAATCTGAGTTTGTATCGAAAATGTGCTTCTCACTATAGTGAAAACTCAAATTTCTTTGCCTTAGGCTCTTTAGACCTTTGATTTTCTGCCTCATGATTCTGTTATTCAAAAGGGCACAATAAGAGTGATTATAGAGTGAAACTGACAACATTTAATGAGTTACCAAGCAGGAAACACATGGAAGATGGAACACAGTGCCATTCATATAAAGCTGAGGGTACTTAGTACGGTTCTTTGTGCTATTCATGTAGACACAGAAGAGTACATATAGATAGCATTAGATAAGAACAGAATTTTCTCTGAGAGGAATGAAAGAAGAGATAAGCTGGCTTATGTCTATGTGTAATGGTCCATGCATGTTTCCTGGATGAATATGTTGACTCCTTAATGCACTTGTGAACCACTTTCTAATCCTATTTTCTTCTCTCTGTCTCAACACATCTGTTGTACCTAACTGCTCTCCAGAATTCTGAATTAATACTCTGAAAGCTGTCCTTTACCCTTTAACATAAACATTATACATCATAAATAAATATCATTAATTTTATCTTTTGGAAACCTATTGGAGAAAAAATTGCATGTATTTTCTCTTTCTTTTCTTTCTTTTCCACTAAACATTATTTTTAAATGTATCCAGGATGGTGCATGCAGCTATAATTCACTGATTTTTTTTCCATTGCTATATAGTATTTCATTAAAGGAATGTTAATTGGTCAACTTACGGGTTCTTTCTAATTTGGTTTTGTTTTTATTTTTGTTGTTATGAACAGGCTTCTATCAACTTTTGAATATATACTACTGGTACAAAATGTTAAAATTACCGTACAAAATGTTAAAATTACCTAGAAGTGGAATTACTAGTTTTTCCTCAGTCTTTTAACCAGTTCTTTCCTTCTGCCCTTCCATATAAATTTTAACATCAGTTTATCAAATTCCACAAAATAAAAATTTGGTGAAATGGTTAATGAAACTACATTAAATTTTTAGGTCATCTTTAGAAGACTTGACATAGTCCCATTACAGACCTTTCTCAACTGAAAATAAACTGTTTTCTTATATGTTTCAATCAAATTCTTAGCAATTTTTGTATTTATAACTTTTATCAGTCCCTAAATATTCTATCTTTTTGAAATGCATAGACTTAAAATCTTCCAACAAGATATGTTGCTAAATGCTCTTATGTTCTATAGTTTAATTATCTGGTGACAAATCCTATGGCTAATGACAACAACTCAGGACTTCTTCCTGTCACTTCAATTTTCCACTCACGTATGGTGCTCTATCACTTGAGCTTTACCTTAACCTTTTAATCTTGATCCTCAGATCTCAGCCTTCTAAAAAGCTAGGATTACAGATCTAGGCATGAACTATCAACACCTGTCTAGCTTTTTTTCTTTCCTACTACTGTGCTCTTGCTTGCTTGCTTGCTCACAGCTGGACCTCTACCACCTGAGCCCTGCCACCAGCCCAGACTTTTCTGCCTGGGTAGCTCTGAACCATGGTCCTCCAGGTGGCAGCTTCCTAAATTTAATTCCTAAGATTACAGACATGAGCCACCAGTACCCTGCAACAAGCTTTTTTAATCAAATGGCTTATCCTGAGAACTGAGCTCCTAATTCCCATTATAGGGTGTTGCAAAATCCAATGAGTCTTGGGAAAAAATCACATTAAGTGAAGTAAGCCAGACTCAAAGAAACATAGACTCCATGGTTTCCCTCATTTGTAATAATTAATATATGTATAAGATAGTCCTATCAGAAGATCACAATAGCTCAATAACTATATATCTATGCCCATATAAGATGGTAGTAAATGAAATGAACTCCAAGATATGGAAACAAGAGGTTTTTGTTGTTGTTGTTGTTATTTTTAATGTACTGTGTGAATTATTTTTTTCCTTTGTTTTATCCTCTGTTGTCACTGTATTTGATTTTGGTACTTGTGTCTTGTATATATGTTTATCTGAATTGGGGAAGGGAAGAGAAGGGGAACAACAAAATGGTGAGACAAAGGACAAAGGGCAAACCAATGCAAGACAACATGTTGGAAATGAACTTTATAACTTGATGGAGGTGGGGAAAGGAAAGTGGGAGAAAATGAGGGAGGGGGTAATAATGTTTAACAAGAAATGTACTCATTACCTTATGTATGTAACTGTAACCCCTCTGTACATCACCTTGACAATAGGATTATTTTTTTTAAATCACGTGAGTCCACTCAAACTCCAAGAATAATGTACTTTAACAGAGCCCCCAAAACTAGAATGATATGGTTTCAGAGTCTCACCAGAACTAACCTTTAAAGAACTATCACTTAACCAGGTCTGGTTTGGTTTGAAAGACTATCCATAATGATCCATAATGATCTGAACAGGCTCTTCAAATGCTTATCATTTTCTAACTACAATCTGTGTGAGGCTGGGTTTTCTTTATATCAACCAAAAAAATTGTTAGAACAGAGTGACTTTAATAGAAAATAGTATGAAAGTTCAACTATATTTTTTGATTTTACTATTGTATTGGGCTTTGAACTTAGGGTCCTCTAGCTTGCTTGGCTAGTTTTGTTACCACTTGAACCAATGCTTCCAGACCTCACTATCTTTATTTAAACAGCAATTAAAATTTTTTCTTACATGTTATTTTTTAACTTGTTATGGATTTGTTATTGCTTTTGCTAAAGTAATAAATTTTAGTTTTCAGTTTTAATTTCTAATGACTTTATTTTTTCTATAGTAGACCTAATATTTTTACCTTTAGTGGGGTAAATTATATTTTTCCAGACAGTTATAAATTTTTATAGAGGTTTTCAAATGTATTAGTTTGGAACAAAAATAAATCTAATAATTTAATTTATCAGTGTCAGTGATTACTTTTCTCTTGACATTTATCATTTGTGAGGTTTTTTTTAAACTACAATTACTTTTCCTGAAAAGTAAAGTTGACTAGTAACTAATACATTTTTCCCTAAAATTATAACTACTGCTTTTGCTTCCTAAGGCTTCCTATTTTGCAGGCAAAATCATGATTGTACAGCCTTGTTTATAGAACAAACAAACAAAATAGCAACTCTCGATGGATTAATCATTTCTGCATACCTACTCTAATATTTGTTCTTTAGCTTTCCCCATGGCTTTGACATTTTTCTGTTTGGGTAAATTGTGTAGATTCTTACCTATATACAAAGAACCCTGGCAGTACATCATATCTCTCATGAGGATCAAAGGAAACTGAGTGTACAAGGGAGAAGACAGTACTCTAAAGATATTCATGTCTTAATCCTAGAGCCTCTGCAAATGCTAGGGAAAAAAAAAGATCAAGTGAAGGTTGCTAGCAACTATTTTGAGATGGAGAGATTATCCTGGGTTATAATACTGTTCTTATATGTGGAAGTCACAGGCAGAAGAGTATGATGGCACAGTCAGAGATGTGAGGGAACCACACTGATGACTTGGAGTGTGAATGGCCTAAAAGCCAATGGACTTTGGTGTCCTTTACAAGCTGTAAAAAGGCAGGGAAACAATTCTCCCCTGGAGCCTCTAAATACTGGACAAGACTATTACAAATCCTAGTTTTAAGCAGTTAGCTACATTTTGGCTTTCCCTGCCTGCAGGGCCTATTTACCTGTACCCTCCCCCAAAACACATTGAGTCTCAGCTCAACCTGTTAAGGGCTAATTCTAATCTTTCTGCCACACATATACAGACAGACAGAAAGACAGACAGACAGACAGACACACACACACACACATACACACACACATTTATGTGTTGAAAAAGCCCCCATTTTGCTTTGGTAACTTGCAGTTTTTCTTTCTTGGTTCAAGATCAGCTACAAATAGAACCAACTGTTGTTCTATTTAGCATTGGAAAGGTCAGGGGCACCTTTCATATCAGCTCTGTCCAACAGGTTGACTAGAAGCATCAATTCTGCATTTTGAGTTCCTGATAATATACTCTTAGCAATACAGCTTAGTGGTTAACAGCATAGCCTTTACAATTGGATAGATGAGAGTCTGAATTAGCAATGGAATAATACTCAAGTTACCAAACCTCTCTGAGCAGCTAGACTCATTTATAAATATGCATGACACTCTCCTGGGACTTTCCAGAGCATGAGTGAAACCAAGTGAGAAAGCTTCTAGCACAGAGAAGGAGTAGTCTGTGCATTAACTAGCACATCCTGCATTCTGACTTTTCTGCTATTGTCAATCTTTTATGTCTTGCATCTGCCTAAGGGTACCAAACAATCCTATTAAGTCTCCTTTATTCCTTGAAAGGCTCATCTTCCTCTCAATCTCAGGATACCATTCCACTGTGTTCATATGGGATCCACTGTGCTCATATGGGAATGTTTTCTCACATATAGCATCTGTTGTTTCTAATTGTCCACTGCTCACTGTCTAGAATGAAGAAGGTCTCTTCATTTATCCTGATAACCAAGTGTGCTCTGCTCCTGGCCATGGTACTGTCCATTCTTAGAACTCAGTGATCAGGTAGAGGCCGCTGAGTAGAATTTCTGGACTAATGCAGATTTTGAGTAGAAGTTTGGACTACTTCATTGAGACTGGTTCTCATAATATCTCCAAGTTCTTACGTGTAATACTCGGAACTGATATAGTGCACACAGACTAATATACACATGCTACTACCACTACACCTCTTCCACCACCACTGCTAGCACAGGTCATCCCTCTCACATATAGGTGGCATAATTATTTGGCATCTGATAATATGTTACACTAGTGTCCACTATTCTGGGGGAATTGTGTCTTAGAGCAATTGGAGAATGGAAGCAAGTAGAGAAATGTCACCATTGCTTTTAGTTGGGATTAAGGCCATGTCTCTGAACCAGAAACAAGGTGGGACAAGTCATAGTTTACAAGAATTAAACACATATTAAGAGTCAGTTATAACTGTCATTCTCTATAGATGTTTATATTCAGCAACATTAGTTTTTAGTATGGCATATTTTTATCTCATACCATACATTATATACATTTAGAGGTTGCATATAGGGCCACTAATCTTAAATGTCACTTTTAATTCAATGTTTCTTGAAGATTAAATGATTTCTATCCCAGCTGAATGTTTTAAGGCCATAAGAAATTCAAGGCAAAAGGATTGTGCATATTTAAACATATTTAAGCTGCAGAGTAGGTATCTAATAATTGTATATTGTACCTAAATATTGTCCCACATTACCACTACCATCATGCCTGTTCTTACAAGACAATGTATAGATTTCTCATACACTAGATAGGTTCATCTCTGGACTCTCTTATTCCATAGATGTCACATAATTACTTTCATGTTCTGGGAAAATAATCTATAGTCCTCCTCCACATAGGACTATTCTGTCATGTTGGAACCATTTCCTTATCCTATCTGTTATCCTGTGTCTCTGTCAGTTTACATTTTCTCACAAACTCTTAGGCCATCTTTTATGAGTACAGCTTATTTCAGAAGGCATATATTTAGCTTAAGTTCTATCTTTATTAATATAGTCTTCTTACAAGATAAATTTATGTAATTCAGTACATATGTCCATTCTGATTTTCTATGATCAGAAGCTCATGGAAGGATCTGCTTTCCTGATGTATGTGTTCATGTGACAAAGGGCTGGAGAAGGAAGGAAGGAAGGAAGGAAGAAAGGAAGGAAGGAAGGAAGGAAGGAAGGAAGGAAGGAAGGAAAGAAGGGGCATGCAGAGCTTTACTCATGAGAACAATGAATATTGTTTACCACCACATGTGCAGATCAATGCTAATATTATTTAGCTAGATTAGTAAGGAAGTTTTCTCCTGAATGCTAATTTATGCTAATGCAAAGAAAATCAAACAAGTTTTATTTGTTGTTGTTAAGAGATTTTTCCCTTCAGCAATTCATTATAATGTGAACTTCATTGCCATCTGTGTATCTGTGGCAATCAGGTGGGAATTCAGAACCTTCTCCAATCCAAATACAGTGAGGGGAGTCATTGACATGCATTAATTATCCACTTGCCAGGAAAAGACTAGTGGGGAAAATTATTCTTTAGGCAAGGCAAAATGCAAAATAGGTTGGACTTTAAAATTTTAGTAATTTCATAGTTAAATAGTAAAGAAGTGTTAATGCTAGCAAATGGAGACTGACAAACTTGAATATGCTAGGAAGCCACTAATATAGGACAAAAACACATATTTGCAGTTTTAGAAAAGTTGAAGATGCCTTAACTGGATCAACTAATATCACTGGGTGTAGGTGATATAATTCTCCACTCTGTGTCCACAGCTGACATCATTAACTGATCATGACATAACTATTCTCCTGTCTGCCCTTTTATAGGTTCAGAATTCTCAGGTAGCTATTCATCATCGATTGAGCTTGTCACACATGATAGTTTGGATTGTCAATCAGAAATCACGTACATTCCTTTTCCATCCTCTACAAGCAGAATGGTTTTCCCTGTCTCACTCATATTGACCAGAGGAATGGGATGGGAAGAGAGACTTCAGTATGCCTGTGTGATTTGTTCTATGGCCCTTTTACTCTAATAGCCTCTGTGACAAGAGCATAGTTTCAGCAGAAAAAGCTTCCTCAGTCTAGGTCTCATAGCAAATGTACATGGAGCACACCAAGTCCAAGTTGTAGCTTGAAGCAGCACTCAGAAGATGAGATCAAGAATGAACCGTTGCTGTTGTAAGCTTTTGAATTGTGAAGGGTCCACCTTAGATGAAATTTGTTTATTATTCCTGCCCTAAAAACTGGTTTTTACATGAAGTAATCATTAGGTTAAATGACTAGGCTAGGTATATTTTCCAGGACTAAAATGAAGCTATTATTAATCCTAAAGAATATGTTTGAAATTTGTAAGGTTTTTTTTTTTTTTTTTACTAAATCTGTCTATAGAAATTATATAGTTTGACAGAACAAAGAATAGAATTGAGATCCTTTGATGATTACATACTCTACTCCTCCTTCAGTAACAAAATTATGATATGTAATTATAAGAGATGTATCTGAACCACAGAGAATAGAGTTGCCAGGCAGTGTCAAGCAGAAGAGATAGCTAGCATTTCAGACATTTCAGTGAAGTTTTCGTGAAAAACATTCCTTCAGTTATCGTTAGATAGGATTCCAGAGGCTTGGAAGACCACAGTCACACCATAAGGTTAAAGGGAGATTTTCTCATCTCCTTTGGCTCACTGTTCATCTCAGACCACCAAACTCACACATCAATACAATCTCACTCTGGAAGTCATACCCTAGCACTTTGCTTCTTAGCACATATCCAAGTTCTTGACACTTAAGAGTACTAATATTTTTTTTTGCCTCAATGAGAGGCAAAATGTGAATCAATGTTAAATATTTGTGTTAATATTTGTCTGATTCTGAGAAATATATTACAGTTTACTAACAAGTAATAGGTAAGAAACAGTATAAATCATAGTGCAATCAAATTTCCATGCTGCTAACCTCTCCTTTATTATAATTAATACTGAATGCCTGCTAAGTGATTGGCAGATAGAAATTGAATAGGTGAAGTCTCTGCCCTCAGGAAGCTGATGGTCCTTCAATGAAAACATTCAAACATGTACGCAAAGGTAATATCATGCAAAGAACAAAGAGGTACATTCTCCTTGCGAGTCCTTGAAAAGGAGTACACATTTTAGAGAGAAAGTCCTCCAAGCAACCACCCCCTAAAAATCCTTGAACTGTGTGAACTGTAAGATAAATGCACTTAGAGGCACACCATTCTCCACAGAGCCCTGCATCCAAAACTCAACAGCCACTGAATGACACATGCACATGTACAGTATACTAAGATGCCTCTAAAATTTGGAAGCTGGCCCTAGAACTTCTATTGTTCCCTAAAGGCTTCCTAAACTACTATCCTCTTTAAGCAGAGAGCCAACACTTCACCACAGTTAAGTCTTCACAACATGATTATATATTACATATCAGGCTTCTGTAAAATAGGTACACAGTTAAACATACCAAGCAAATAATCGGTATATGAAGACACAAGATCCACAGTAGCAAATTCTGGAATGTTTGGTAATATCACTTGATTAATTTCATCTGATTTAGAATTCTTCTTTCCAATAAGTAGGTTAATTTCCAGCACTGATTCACTGACCTAGAATGAATGTGTCAATTAGAATTTCTGATTCATATAGGATCTTTTAAGTAAATGCTAGGATTTGCATTTGTCCCCAAAGTTCATGTGTTGGAAATTTAATCCCCAGTATGTCAAGGCTGGGAAATAGATTGCTAAAGAGGTCATCAGGCCATAAAATCTCTGCTTTCATGAATGGACTAAGGCAGGAAGCATGGTAGAGGACATAGCAGCCCTGTTTGTCTTCCCTGGCTTGCTCTTCCACTGTAAGAAGACCCTTACAAGATGCTGCTCCCCCAACCGTGGACTTCCCAGGTCTAGAACTATGAGTCAGTACATTTCAGTTCATTATAAATTAACCACACTGTGCTGTTCTTTTAGAACAGCACAAAATAAACTGAGATGTATATATATATATATATATATATATATATATGAAAAAGTATATTTATAAAGTAATATTCAGGATGTAGTAGAAAAAATCATGACAGAATGAAAGAATACTATGTGTTTGTGGTATGCAGAATATATCAAACATATAGTCAAACAAATCAGTTTGTTTTTGACAATTTAATTAATGGATCTATTACTTAAAATAAGCTATCTCACCTGGATGTGACAAATATTTGCCTAACTATTAAATATACACATATATATCTAGCAATATTTTCATTAAATAAAAATTGAAATAGAGTCAGTTCTGGTTAATGGAGATTTAAAAGATTATTTAGAGTATTTCCAATATTTCCAAACAGAAATAATTGGCAAAAATCCCAAAGAAGGTAAAATTCACTTCTCTCATTTAGGTTCATTGTGCTGCCTTAACAGCTCAGAGGTAGAAACTACAGACCTGACAGTAGAAAGAAACATTTAAAAAATCAGACCAACCTGTGCAGCAGCTCTGATTGCAATCCAGGCCAGGGATGTGCACATTTCAGATTTATTGGATGGTTCTCTATTAGAGCTATGCCTTCTGGAAAGAGTCTAAAATATCTCAAAATGTTATTTGATAAATAAAGAAAATTCATTGATAACTCTTCTCACCTTCTAAAGATACATTTTAGTGGAATACTATGTAGCCATTAACTTCAATACAAACAGATACTTAAAGTACATTAAAGAATAAAAAGTGTACCCTAGGAGGCTATATGCACAGTATAATCATACATATGCACAGGGATGGTAGGGAAAAAACAAGGGAGGAGGCAACGATCCCTGATAAGAAATGTATTCATTACCTTGCTCATGTGATTGTAACCCCTCTGTACATCATTTTCACAATAAAAAATTTAAAAAAATATGCACATACAGATTCCTTATACACGCAAGCAGATGAAGTTTTTCACAGTGGTTATCCAAAGTGTTAAAAGTAATTAATTTTTAATAATTTTTCTCAATTTTCTATAATAAAAATTGCAATATTTTGTAATAAATTAGTAAAAATGTCATTTTAAGTAAAGTAAAATGTAATTTTCAAAAAGGTTCCATAAATTGACTACACGATGGGCGAAGATGGCAAAAAGAAGGAGGGAAAGCAGGAGAAAAATGAGGGAGGTGGTAACAAGTTCAACAAGAAATGTAGTAACTACCTTACATTCATAGCTGTACACCACCTAGACAATAAAATTAAATTTTAAAAAAGGAATATCACTCAAAAGTTTGATGTTGTTGTTTTGAGATAGGGTCTCAAGTCCAGGCTGGTCTCCTGCCTCAGGCACCGGAATTACTCAAAAGCTTTTAATAGGTATTTGATATTTTTTTTCACACTAGGAAAATGTTGAAGTAGTAATATAATTATAAATTTCCATAGAGTAACAAAAAAGAAACAATGAATGTGTACATTATTTTATGTATTCATACACACAGTTTCTAAATAAGAAATTCAATGTTACAGAAAGAAACTCTAACTATTAACACAATATGCATTTTACATTTTAAAAGATAACTAAATTAATAAATTAATTAATATAAATTATCATTTTATTTGTGCATGTGTCTGTGTGTGCTAGTACTAGGCTTGAATTCAGGGCATCCTTACACTTTCTTAGCTTTTTTTTTTTTAACTTAATTTAATTTTATTTGTGAACATACTGTACAGAGGGGTTACAATTACATGGGCAGGATAATGCATATATTTCTTACCAAGCATTGCAGCCTCCTCCTTTGGTTTACCCTTCACATCCCTTCCCAGCCTCCCCCCTCCCCCCCAATCCCAATCCTTCTCCTTCCCTCCCTTAGCCACCCCACCCCCCAAACCGACGTTGTAAAGCTCGTTTTGGACATGACAACTTGTACTTCTCATTGTTGCAACAGGTCCTCCTGTATCCTTAAACAACTGGTTTTTCCCCATCTCCTCCACAAGTTATACTGACATCAAATATAGTGAAAGCAGGGGTTATACTGTGGGGGAGGGACATACAAAGCAACAAATAGATAATCTTATAAATGCGTTAGAAACACATGCATGAAAGAAAAAAACATTAAAATATGTATCTAAGGGTTCATTTTCCTGACATCACATTATCTGACCTTTTCCACTTGACTCATACATATACTAGATATTGCAAATAAGGGAAACCATGGGACCTATGTTTCTTTGGGCCTGGCTTACTTCACTTAATATAATTTTTTCCAAGCCTTTCCATTTCCTAACAAATGGGGCAATGTCATTCTTTCTGATGGAGGCATAGAATTCCATTGTGTATATATACCACATTTTCTTGATCCATTCATCTACTGAGGGGCATCTGGGTTGGTTCCATATCTTAGCTATGGTAAATAATGCTGCAATAAACATAGTTGTGCTGGTAGCTTTAGTGTGGTCTTGTTTGTAAACATTTGGATAAATGCCCAAAAGTGGGATTGCTGGGTCATAGGGGAGTTCTATGTGAAGTCTTTTGAGGAACCTCCATACTGCTTTCCAAAGTGGTTGAACAAGTTTACATTCCCACCAACAATGAAGTAAGGTTCCTTTCTGTTCACATCCCCTCCAGCATCTGTTGTTGTTAGAGTTCTTGATTTTTGCCGTTCTAACTGGGGTGAGGTGATATCTCAATGTAGTTTTGATTTGCATTTCTTTTATGGCTAGGGATGTTGAACATTTCTTCATGTGTCTATTGGCCATCCTTCTTTCTTCTTCAGAGAAGTTTCTCTTCAAGTCTTTCGCCCATTTATTTATTGGGCAGTTGTTTCTTTGAGAATTTGTTGTTGGGGGGGTTTAATTTTTTGAGTTCCAAGTATATTTTAGATATGAGACCCTTGTCTGTTGTATGGCTAGTAAAGATCTTCTCCCAATCCGTGGGCTTTCTATTGATCTTGCTAGCTATGTCATTTGCCCTGCAGAAGCAATTTTATGCAATCCCATTTGTCCAATCTTTCTTTGATTTGTTGTGTTTCCGGGTCTCTATTCAAAAAATTTCGGCCTGAGCCAAGGACACCTAGGGTTTCTCCTATTCCATCCTGTAATGTTTTCAGAGTGTCTGCTTTGACTTCAAGGACTTTGATCCATTTGGAGTTGATTCTGGTGCAGGGTGATATATAAGGATCTAGCTTTAGTTTTCTACATGTAGTTAACCAATTTTGCCAGCACCATTTACTGAAGAGGCTGTCTTTCTTCCATTGTATTGTTTTAGCTCCCTTATCGAAGATTAGATGGCTATAGGTCTGTAGGTTCATTTCTGGGTTTTCAATTCTATTCCATTGGTCCTGAGGTCTGTTCTTATGCCAATACCAAGCTGTTTTGATTACTATGGCTTTATAGTAGAGTTTGAAATTTGGTATTGATATTCCTCCAGCAGTGTTCTTTCCGTTGAGGAGCGTTTTTGCTATTCGGGGTCTTTTATTGTTCCATATGAATTTTTGGATTGCCTCTTCTATTTCCTTGAAGAATGAGGGTGGAATTTTGATAGGCATTGCGTTGAATTTGTAGATAGCCTTGGGAAGTATTGCCATTTTCACGATGTTAATCTTTCCAATCCAGGAGCATGGGAGGCTTTGCCATTTTTTTAGTTCTGTGTTGATTTCCTTTTTCAAGATTTTAAAGTTTTCATCATAGAGTTCCTTCACTTCTTTACTTAAGTTAATTCCTAAGTATTTTATTTTTTGTGGGGCTATTACAAATGGAGTTGCTTTCCTAATTTCAGCCACACTTTTCTCATTGTTGGCATACAGAAAAGCCATTGATTTTTGGGGGTTAATTTTATAACCTGCTACATTGCCAAAGTTTTGAATCAGCTTGAGTAATTTGAGAGTGGAGTCTATGGGATTCTTTAAATACAAGATCATGTCATCTGCAAAGAGGGAGAGTTTTATTTCTTCTTTCCCTATTTGGATCCCCTTTATGTCTGCATCTTGTCTTACTGCTGTAGCTAGGCATTCTAATACTACATTGAAGAGAAGTGGAGAGAGTGGGCATCCTTGTCTTGTTCCTGAGTTAAGAGGAAATGGCTTTAGTTTTTCACCATTGAGTATAATGCTGGCTGTAGGTTTGTCATATACAGCCTTTATTGTATTGAGGAATGTTCCATGGATTCCTAATTTTTCCAAAACCATCATGAAGGGGTGTTGGATCTTGTCGAATGCTTTTTCTGCATCTATTGAGATAACCATGTGGTTCTTATTCTTGCTCCTGTTGATGTGATGAATAATATTAATTGATTTGCCTATATTGAACCAGCTTTGCATCCCTGAAATGAATCCTGTTTGATCGTGGTGTATGATTTTTTGGATGAATTGTTGAAGTCGATTGGCCAAAATTTTGTTGAGAAGTTTTGCATCAATATTTACCAAAGAAATGGGTCTATAGTTCTCTTTCTTTGATGAGTCCCTGTCTGGTTTTGGGATGAGGGTTATGATGGCTTCATAGAATGTGTTCGGTAGTGAGCTTTCTCTTTCAATTTCATTGAAGAGTTGGAGGAGTATTGGTGTGAGCTGTGCTTTGAAGGCCTTGTAAAATTCCGCTGTAAAACCATCTGGTCCTGGACTTTTCTTAGCTGGGAGGTCTCTTATTGCTGTTTCTATTTCAGTGCTTGATATGGGCCTGTTAAGATAGTTTAACTCATCTTGGTTTAGTTTTGGCATGTCAATATTTGCTAGGAAAAGGTCCATTTCTGTCAAGTTCTCAAACTTATTAGCATAGAGTTTTGAGAAGTATTCCCTTATAATGTTCTGAATCTTGGTTGTTTCCGTGGTGATGTTTCCATTCTCATCTCTGAGTTTATTAATTTGAGTGTGTTCTCTTCTTTTTTTGATAAGATTTGCTAAGGGTCTGTCAATTTTGTTAAGTTTTTCGAAGAACCAACTCTTTGTTTTGTTGATTCTTTCTATAGATTTTTTGGATTCTAATTCATTTAATTCTGATTTAATTTTGATTATTTCTTTCCATCTACTGGATTGGGGTTTATCTTGCTGCTCTTTTTCAAGGAGGTTTAGATGTGTCATTAAATTGTTAGTTTCAGATCTCTCCAATTTGTTGATGTAGGAGTTCAGAGCTATAAACTTGCCTCTGAGTACTGCCTTTGCTGTGTCCCAGAGGAGCTGGTAATTTGTGTGTTCATTTTTGTTGAATAGCATGAACATTTGAATTTCCTTTCTAATCTCTTCCATGACCCACTCATGATTCAGCAGTGTGTTGTTCAGCCTCCATGTGATGCCGGACTTTCTTTGGTGGCTTTTGGTGTTGAGTTCTAATTTTATTCCCTTGTAGTCAGAGAGGATGCAAGGTATAACTTCAATGTTTCTGAATTTAGACAAGTTTGCTTTGTGGCCTAAAATGTGGTCTATTTTAGAAAACGTTCCATGTGCTGCTGAGAAAAACGTGTATTCTGATGCTGCTGGGTGAAATGTTTGGTAGATGTCTGTTAAGTCTAGTTGATCTATGCAGCTGTTTAGATCTGCGGTTTCTCTGTTGAGTTTTTGCCGAGTTGATCTATCTAGTGGGGATAGTGGTGTGTTAAAGTCCCCAACAATTAATGTCTTTGGATCTA